ATATTATTTTCGTCTAGCATAATTTGTTAAGAGCATCAGGTTACTTATAACGTGAAAAATATGACGAAAATATAACAAATATATTGAAAACATTCCTCTAATTAGTTTTTTTTAAATTAAATGCTTTAAAAATATTAACAACTTACACTACCTATCTTTGTTCATGACAGTATTTTTTTAATATATTAATTGGACACATTTTTACGCAATGTTGTCTACTCCAAAACTAAACAAAGTTATATACTATAGGTAACTAGGAAACTGATAAATATACTTAAACATACTTTTCTTTTGTATTTAAATACATATTATAGGTATATAAACACTTAGGTACTAGAGACACATTGTTCAGTTTTCGAACCCACATCCTCTGGCGAAAGTGACTCACTATCCATGCCAATTGGATCGTCAAATTTGACATCATGTCTGGCTAATTTAAGAGATTTCGAAGACAAATCAGTGGTTGTGTTTATGGGCAGAAAAGATCACTTAATTTGTCATCTCCAACGTCACCCGGTCTATTTTAATAATGCTTTGAAGGTGACTTCTGCTTCATAAAGTTTAGTCTACTCACATAAACCAAATATATACTATTCAAAGTAAAATGCACCTTTTGAACGCATTAAATACATAGCATGAATAATTATATGTTAATAGAATAGATACATTTAATTAACACTATCATAAGTGAAACTAAGTTATGGTTAAAAAAATATACCCTTCGCCTACCATGACCATTAAATATTAATAGACTGGCAATACCGACTCTTACGGTATTTCCATAATTAAATTATAATTAATGAGTAATAAGTTTACGTTCGTCTAATTAAGACGAATGCTAAATATAATAACATACAAAATTAGTGTATATGTTTTTGAACGGATTAATTGTGCCATGAATTTTGTACTCAGATGTAAATATACCGTCCGCATCGGAAAAGAAACTTTATCTTATGGATTCTCATTACTTCTACTTGCCAGGAAATTGTTATTCGCAAAGTTTCATCATAGAAACATTTGTTTTCTTGTGACACATAGACACAGTTGGCGCTAGAGTATTTCCGGCCTAATATAACTCAAGGACGTTCAAAATCATAAACTATTCTAGATTTTTACTTTTATTTTATTTAAGCCAGTAAACCTGTTTATTAAATGTGCCATAAATCGCAATCGGTAAGTTTTACAAAAAAGTTTTTGGGAAACAAAAGATGCGAAATTTTTTTCTCTACAATAATCGTTATGACTTTTGCCCCAAAGTGCATAGTATCGGAGGTATCGGGCAAAAACGTTTTTTCAAGATGGCGTCTGAAGCTCGACCGGATGAAGGAACAGATTCCGGTTTTGTGTTTAAAACTTTGAACAGTGTACGTCTATAATTCACTGTACACATTTGTTACGGCTGGTTTTAAGGTCTCTAAATGTCCTATTGGTTTAGCCAACTTACTTTTATTAAATAACGGTTTTTTTATCTAATGTGAAATGAGTTTCCTTTTCTGTCATTCACACGTGCAACGAACAATTCATCGCGACAGGTTTGCCACTTATCGTGTTCGAGACTTGGCAACTTCAATGACTTATCAACCGTTGTTCCGATCTTCGACCTAATGTATTCACGGTGATAACTTTGAGGTACGCGTTGCACAACTGCACTCTGTTCTCGCTATTTATTTCACGTACGTATATATCAAAGTTTTTGTATCATCTATTTTATTTTGGTCAGTATTTCGACAGCGTTTTGCCTTATTTCACCAAATGTGTCTATCTGTAATCTACCATGTGTCACCAAATATGTAATTAAGCCTATTTACGAATTTTATTGCTCCGAATGTATGAATTCTGAAACATGTTATATACAAAATAGGTTTTCTTATTATTGTGTACTTGCTGACTTTTACATAAGATCACTCACTCTTCGATCGGTGAGGTACATTGCCCCTAACACAGAAAATCATATAGCAATGTATATATAAAATCATCTGATATAGACACAACAAATCATTACGTGCCATCATAGTAACGCAATTGACGTAAAGTTCTTTATTAGTGACATTAATGAACACATCTGTGAACATTAAAAAGAGATTCATAAACTTATTTAATATCATGTGCGATCCCCCAAAGTAGAGCAACACTTTTAGCTTCACAGTAGAGCGGCGTGGACGCCCCTCTGATGTGTAGTCAGACAACATCATGCAAACATCGCTTCGCTGATTTATACATAGCCTGCCACTTAAGCACGGCTACCATGTGGGAAAATACGTTGTATTTTTATGAGAACATGGCAATGATGTAGGCGATTGTGGATGCCCATAGACATCCATAATGCCTTGCCACGCTGTCAAGCTTAAGAGGGATAGGCCCTACCAGACGTTACAACCGGATAAATACTATTTTACGCTGATCTCTGCCACTTCCCAGACCATTTATGCAATAAAAAAAAATTGTTAGGAGCCCTATCGTAATACACAGAGATGAACAACTTTTTACGTATGGTAGGGCCACGCAACAGTCTTCGCTGTTGCACGAATAAAAAAAACACCGGCGTAAAGTGAAGGTGATTCACTTCTGGGTTTAGTCTGGTGAGGGATCTAAACGGAGCCCACTATATTAAAATGTCCAATGTATTCTCATCTATAATTATCATCAAGTGAATCGCCAGCTAGCTTCATATACAAAATTTTTTGATTTAAAACAAGCTTTTACGACGTAGTACGTAACGTAGTTAAGTACATACCTACCTTTAAAAAAGTGATATTTGAAATATTATTTTTTTCATTTCAATTGAAAGTAATATTCCTGTCAATTCACAATTCGTTGACGGGAAATTTTGTTTGAGCAATATTCCATGGAAGGTAATTTACATGTAAAAATTGTATGCAGATCTTTTCACAGGTACAAAAAAACTATATTAGAATAAAAAAGGTAACGAAGAGCCTTAGCAGAGAGTATATCTAGGAAAGTCCGGAATGAACAGAAAGTCTATAACATTTTAAGCCCTTCTCACGGCATTCGTTTGTCTAATTATTTGGAACGCATCAGTTATCTCCACCGCGATTGCTGCTATGGTCAAAATTTCCTTCATTCACGAATATACCAAATCAATGGTCAATAGGCGTGCAATAAATTTATACTTTCCCATAGAAATCAATACCACATCGAAGGCTGGAAACTAACAAAGACTTAATTCAGTAAAATATTTTACAACTTAGGATAGGGAAGATTTTCGTAAAATCAGCTAAAATTTGTGTTTTCCAAATCTTAATGTTTATCTCTGTTTGTACTTGTGGCTTACATACTTGACAGCAGATCCGTTAAAGGTATTATTATGTTAATAAAAGTAGGTGGCGCCGTGGCTAAGCTATTGATTTTGGCGTTGGGGCTCGTGGGTTGGATTCCCACACGGGACAGGTGTTTGAGTGACTCACCGATAAGTATTCCGGATCTGGGTGATTGTTCTAAGAAGGGTTGACGTCAGGCAGGCGGCTGGTCGTAAAAGTCATATCCAAAACCGCTTACATCATTCACATGTTGTGCCGACTCCACCGTGGGATAAGGGCAGGAGGATGTAACTATATATTGCCAAATTAAAGTGTTGAGAGGGCATGTTCTGAAGCATTTAGAACTGTACCATAACATGATCCGTTTGCAATGAAACACCAACAGTTCGAATATACGTGTTTGAGCTACGTAAACATATTTATTTTCCCATTGAAACAAGCGAATGATAATCGAAACGAGTATCGCTTGCGATTCGATTGTCAAGGCTTTTTCTTTATATTATTGAACACGGACACTACTCATCAAAGTAAATGTAATCATTTGTTAAAGAAGATTAATGGCCATATTGAAAAATAGGATAAAATTAATAAAGTAGCGGCATAAATAATAAATAAAAGTAGAATCAGACGGTTTTTTTATTTCTTATCGCGAATTTTTTTAAGAACTGATAAAGTTTTCTCATTTTAAAACACAATTAATGACAAAGTTAAACGACGTTTTATTGATTCTTTATGCCACTCATTGCATGATCCAATCAAACTGCATAAATCTATTTCTATATAAATAATCGATTTTGTTTTACATTTACCTAATTACGTAAAAAGTGAAAACATACGAGTTGAATATAAAACCCTCTTCCTTTAATGTCGAACAATAAATGTAACGACAGGCTGGAAACAATAGCCCGCTAAAAAAGCAACATATTTTTATTCAAATTTCAAATTTTCTTCACTTCGTCAAATGACGCAAATTTGACCCCGTTATTATATATTTTAGGTTGGCGATATTTACATCTTAATGCGAAGTAAATGAGAATTCGCCATTCGCGTGCTATCAAACGCTTTCGACAATCGGCGACGCGGTTCACACGAGTCGATGCGATTATTCACGCAAAACGATTCCCTATTACTCGGTGTTTCCGCCCACAATTGATTACACGGTGGAATCGTTAACGGCACAACTTGCGCGTGCAGACGTTACAGGAATAAAACGGTTATCTATAAAGCGAGTTAAACATTATCTACGCCACATCTGTCTTTATATATGTGTATAAGAATTTGTACACTCACGACTGACTGTTCTACGTGATTGGTACTTTTATAAATCCATCCGAGGAACTTAATTAATGTAATTTTATGATAAATTTTTAGTACTAGTATCTGCAACTTAAATGTAAATGTAGAAGTTTTAAATTTTATGACACTCCATATAAAAAATTTAAAATGTGACTAAATGAACAGACTTTCTGTTCTTTACGGGATTCAAACTAGAGTCTTCGCAGTGCCGAATCCTCAAAAATCACATTTTAATGAATACATTTTTCTTCTAGTTTTGGTTCAATTACCAATAACTATTTATTGCGACTTAATTTAATATCTGAATTGGCCGTTTACCAAACACATACCTACGTTAGTAAAAAATCAAAGCCATGTTCATTCCTCTTGTTCTTTTCAAAAGACATTGTTGTACTGTCGAAACTAAATGCCGGTTATTTATCGCAGAAGGAGTCCAGAACTGATGTGCAGTTCCATCTGGCGGCGCTGCGTGGCGACTGCGACCGGCTCAGGCAGCTCCTGGACACCGGGAAGGTGCACATCGACTCACGGGACAGGGTGAGTACAGACAACGTATGCGTAATTATCGTACTTTCTAGAAAGTTCCAGCTGTTCAGCTAGAAAGTCCCTGCATCTACAACGGATGTGTTAGTATCGTAGTCTCCCGAAAGTTCCAGCTGTTCACTGTACTACATCTGTATCTGTTGCTGCCTTAACTGGTCAGTCCGCCAAAGTATCGCGTGCAAGTCGTTTCGTTGAATGAAGCTGAATTAGAAGCTTAATATCCAAGAATACATTGAGGACAAGGATGTTTGGAAATGACTCTTGCTCTGCACTTGCAAGACCCCTGGCTGCTGCTGATTTTATACCTAAATAAGTGTGTATAATTGCATCAAAAAAAATGTATATAACAAAAAGAACAAGACCGCAGAGTTTCTTGCCTGTTCTTCTCTGTGCAGGTCTAGTTTAGTGAACCGGTGGTAGATTTTTTGTTTACGTTCAATAAGAGCTTAAGTTAGGCCTATATTGAATAAATATACTTTGACTTTGAGAAGACTTCTTGGTGGTGACCTTTCTGAAAGGTTACAATATAATTGCAAGCCTATTAGTAATGCTGATTATAACCGATTGGTGTTTTGCCATCTTCTCTAGCAAAGCGTCTACCTGTAGATGTGACAGTGCCAGGTTGCGCAGGGTAAATAATAATACTGTGGTTACATAATACTACGCTTTCGAGATTGATGTGGTCAGTGGTTGAGGTCTCAATCATGACAGTATCTACATTTTTGTTAACTGATGTGGAGAGTATCACTAAGACGGCACTATAAGTAATATTAACAGAAGGCATAAGTCATTATCGTCAGCATTATAGCAAAATTTATTCTTTCCGACAAAACTCGCCGAGCTCTTGGAGTATTTTATATTTATAGTCGATGTATTTTATTTATTACACTGGTAACGTATAATGCTGGCGGTATATAGTCACGACTACGTGCGTCCATGGAAAAGTGAAGAATACAAATCCTGTTGTTTTGATTTTGCTGACCTTTTCGGTACCAAATGATTAATTGCTGATAAATGGTGAACGTTAAGTCCGCATGCGTACCCTTCGCATACACAAATGTACAAATGGCTTATAAAGTTAATGGATTTACTAATAAAAATACAGTTCAATCAGATTGGGGAGTCAGAGTCTAAAGATACCTTAGTAGCCATAATCAGCATAGCTCTGATTATACCCGTATATTTTCAAATTTTTTGCGTGTCATAGGTACATCAAAACAAAGTCAATTTAAGGTTTTTTTTTTTATTTGAGATAGTGGCAAACGAGCTGGCGGTTGACCTGATGTTAAGTGATAACCGCCGCTCATGGACATTTGCAACGCTACGGGTGTTGCAAATGCGTTGCCACCTATAAATAAATTGTACCCTCGGCTACCTCACTCACCAGACGAAACGCAGAAGTGTAACACTTCTACTTTACGCCGGTCTTTTGTGAGGTCGTGGTACTTACCCGGACGGACCTGCCCATTCGTGCAACAGTGTTGCGTGGCCGTACCACCGTCAAAGGTTGGCTCTTGCACTCATTAATGTGTTTGTACCAACTTCAAGATGATGAAGATATATACAAAATTACAACGCTAGTCGCAGCTTATAAGGAAAGTAGTAAAAAAAATACGGACTTGACAGTAGCAATAAAATGGTACCTTCGCGTAAAACTTTGAGCACAACGTAAACATGAACTACGGCGACGAGCGAGGTAAGACATTGGATACGGATAAATGTTTACACAGTCGAGGAGCTATCTAAACAATGGTGCAAGTTGAAGCTTAACAGAATCCTTAAGGGGTTTAAGGATTCCTTCCTCGACTTGATCTCAAATTCATCTGAGTGGTTTTACAACGGTCCGAAACTGGTGAAATAAAATAACCGCCCGTGGAACTGTCAAATTCTTTTTTATGTTAAGGGAAACAGCTTCGTAACAGCCTAATAAATATAAATATGAAGGTGATCTTACAGTCCACAAATTTCGTTATTTTAAAAGTGATTAGATTTTTAGTAAACTGGTTTACGCCCAACAGCTATATTGTAGTTTGTAAAGCGTCTGGGGGCGAAACCAGAAAACGCGGGTTCGAATCCCGCAGCCCCGAAAGTCTTGTTCATTTATCTACAAAACGGAATATTTGCGACGCATTTACCAATTCGGTAAATTATGCTTGGACAGTTACAGCACTACATCCCTGTATTCCCAAGTCCCGTTGTAGTAAAATCTTAAAGCTTCAGTCGTATCGTATTTTACTCCGTTGCAGTTAGAATTTTGCTGCGTTTAGTTATGTTAGTATGAACTTGCCTGGAAAAAATCAATATGCCGCCGCGACGGAATGTTATGACAAAGTTTGTGAGCGGAGGGAAGTTCCCTTTCTAACTCGGGGTGTCCCCACAATGCCTAGCGGTATTCTCCCGCAGATTCGATGTGATTTGTAACGTTTTTTTGAGTATTTTGTGTTTTACGTTGCAATTAGTTGAGCGAGCGCAAAACGCAATGTTTTTGTTATTTAAATAAATAAATAAATACTTTTGGTAACATCTGCTTCAAATGAATGGAGATTAAAAAATTAATTAAGTTTAATGAAAATAAAGTAGTAAACACAATTTTTTTTAATTAAAATTATGTATTCAGCGGTTTTATTTTCAATTGGGGCCAATATAAAAATTATTTTAGATCAACTAAACAGCCTCGAACATGAAAAGATTGTAATCATCACATCACAAAGACTGTAACTGAAGGCGGCGATTATACCATTTTTAAAGTATCACCATTTCTGGCTACAACTGAAAAGATATAGTTTGATTTCTACTATGGTCTCGGTTATGTAGTTGCTAAGCTTCGCTTTCGTGGGCGGGGTCGTGGGTTCGATTCCCACACGGAGCAAGCATTTGTGTGATCCACAGATAATCGTTCCGGATCTGGTTGCATATTCGAGTGGGGTTGACCTCAGGCCCGGGCGTAAAAATATCAAGGTAGTTATACCCCGCCGAGTTGGAATGAGGGCAGGACGAAGATGTGGTATGGTCATGTAGCGGCTCTGCTGTTGCACGAATGGGCAGGCTCGTCCGGGGTTGTGCCACGGCCTTACACAAGATCGGTGTGGTGGAAGTATAATACATTCGCGTTCTTTGTAAAAGGTTCACAGTTATCTCCAGCCTCACACGTGTTCAAGATTTCCATCGTTTAACATCACTTGAACCGCTTGCTCGTTTGACATCGTCTCGAATTAAAAAAAATTAAAAAAGGAGGAAACAGATTTTCTCTCAGCAGTTACAGATTCATTGTAGACATTTTTACGTCACAGAAAATTACAGTGCTGACTTTAAGGATAACCTAAATTATGTATTATTATCTATACATATAGGAAAATCAAAAGAACGTTTCTTTATATGTCCCATCTTTGGTTATATACCATTCGATCGAATCTGAAAGTAATGAAACTTTAAAAGTTAAGTTATAGATGAGAACACACTCGCCAAACCTTTTGTTTTGTTAAAAAAATGTTATACATAACTGTACTTATAATCAGCCATACACTTTGAATTGCACAGCTTAGCATAACAGCTGTGCTGTATAGACGGATGTTTTGTGCTCAACACAACAGCCACGTCGCTCTCTTTACAAAGTCATCATACATTTGAGTTCGTAGGGTTTTCACAAACAAAGCGCTCTGCTTTTGGATAATTTCTATTCCTTGTTCATACGCTGCCAACCCGTTAGGTTTAAGTGTTAAGCAAAAAGCGTGTTTCAAGTCGGAGCAAGAAAATACGTCTTATGCACGCCTATGGTTAACTGGATTACTTGTCAAATGGCTCTAGAAAGTAAAGTCAGGCAGTATTTCCCCGGCCGATCTGTTTAAGCCACGTATTTACTTATTCGTGAGGAATAAGGGTCGTATTAAATTTGTGTTCCTGTTGTCATTATACGCTTTATTCAAAAACGCTGACGCCTGTCTCTCGGACTGAAATACATACCTACCCTCGTTTCAATATCCACAAATATATGCCGTACACATAAAGTTTTACCACTTCGGTCCCCTTTCCCGCTACCGCCTATCACTTGAAGCCCGTCACGAAGGCTGTAAACGGGGTCGGTTATGATTTATCGTCACTAGTCCGCCTCGTAAGCAGCGACCACTCTGTTGCGTAACGCGGCGAAAGGATTTGTTTTTGTGCGCCATGGGATTTGTTTTGTTTAGACCACACGTCATAACTAAATGACTTTATGCAATGAACGTGTTTATGTAATCGCTTTATTGAATAACTCAATTTCAAGACCGTTCTGCGCCGATCAGCTACGATTGACCTTGATATTAATGTCTTCTAATTCGAACCTTGGTACAAGAAAAGGAAATTAAAAGACACTACGACCGATAAGAAGGTTTACACGGATTCCAACAAGTTATCTAACTGACAAGTTTGGACGTATTAGGTGTCAAGGTGATAGGCATGATACAAAGCTATTTGTCATAAAAACTCAATCGTCCGAAATGTAACAGGTAAGGTTTTCTTTTAAAGAATCAACTTTTGAATTGAAATGAATTTTGAAAATGGAAAACTTTGATAAACACAGATAGAAAACGAAATAACCACTGATCTGCTTTGCGAAGTACATATCATACATATTCTATATTACATTTGTTTTATTATTTGAAATCGGTGCAACCGTGCGTGAGTTACAGTCCGTTACTTGTAAGAACTCGTCCACGATGTAATCCCGTTAGTTCGTGCTATCCAGCTTTGAGAGTTACATCTGTAAATTCCGTAGATTGTGTGTATCTTATGTGGAAGATGAATTATTGTGAGACCTGTATGTACCCAGCGCCGAAATGTACGAAACCTTTTAAAGACCACAACAACGTTAATAATGTGTCAACATTTGCAGCCATAATACATACAACTTTAATGTTTTATTTTGGAGTTTTTTTTAAACATGTTTAAAAATTGTATGATATTAATACTCAAACATTTTCTATTTGCGAGAATGTAGCAAAAACAACGTGATGACGGAATGTTTCGATTATTCGAGCACGCCGGAACAATTAACGATAAAATGGCAAAAATTTGTTGTGCAAATGGAGTGGACAATGTCGATAATGGACGTCCCACGCAACTTTATTGAATAGAAAAATATGGATAGTGATTAGAAAAATATGGACTTCTGAGTTTAAAGTTTAGACGCTCTCTCGTTAAGGTCATACTGCATTATGAATTATGTAACAATACATTCGAATGTATGTCACTTACTGACAATATGCTTTATATTGTATCAAGAAGTGTCACAAGGCCTGCCTCCACTATACACTGAAAAGTGTAGAACAAGTGGTGGGTAGCTGGCACCGCTTCGTAAAGTGTTTAATTCATATAACTGCAATATACTTTTACTGTCACAACAATTTAAAAAAATGTCACAAATTCAAATCAATACTTCAATTTTAATGTGTTAGGTTGGATACCGACTTACTCTTTTTATTTCATTTAATCTTATTTTGCGGACATGTATATATTTTATGTAATAACAGTTAATGTTTAACTGCTTACGTCCCATAATGATGATAGATGATCACTTTACTTAAATACATTATCTATTTATTATGTAGTATTTCATTCTAATTTCTAACGCCTTCTACTTGCAACCCATTCTTTACAAGTCTGTTTGCATCGTTTAATGTTTGTACGCTATTTAAAAATTCATAAAAATAAATTCATTCATTGCAAACTTTATAGATTTAAAGCCAACTCCGTTTATGGAAATATTGTCGTGGCACTCTACGGCCAACGCCACAACATAGGGAGGGATATTAAATTGAGTATTGAAAGATAATGAAAATGAAGACAAAGTCTCGAAGCGCAAGAAAACGTTCCGAACGAGCGAGTCGCTCATTTGATTGGAAACTAGAAGCAGTATGGCGAACGGGAATGCGATGAGCGGGGAATTTGCATGCGTGCACGCGAGATACAGATCGCGGCAGTCAATTGGAGCGTTGCGAGAGCGGTCGGAGATTTTATGTCGTATGCGGCGATCGATTTTAACTGTTGTAGGGCCAAGCAACAGTCTTCGTTGTTGCTCGAATGGGCAGATCTCCGCCGTATTCTTGGTGTTTACTGGCCCGAGAACATCTCCAACGCAGAACTGTGGGGACGCTGCGATGAGACTCCGATCGACCAGCAGATCAAACGCCGCAAATGGAACTGGATCGGCCACACGCTCCGAAGGGACCCTGATCACATACCGAGGCAAGCCCTGGATTGGAATCCCCAAGGAATGCGTAAGCGCGGCCGCCCTAAGCAAACCTGGCGGCGGACGATCATCGCAGAGGCGAAGAACATAGGGGAGACGTGGAGCAAACTGAAGCGTGAAGCTCAAGACCGATCGGGATGGTGACGCTCTGTGGAAGCCCTCTGCCCCATCTAGGGGAAACAGGACCATAAGTCAAAAGTCATTTGCAATCAACATGATACGTACTTTTATTAATATAATTCTTATTTATGAATTATACATAGTAACAAAAATTTTTTGCTTCAATATGTAATTTATTTTTCATTATATACATTTATTCTTAAGAATGGGGTATCTTGTGATTATTTAAGTAAGGGAGATATTTTTCCCGATACTGATATTGTTAAATAAACAAAAGCATTTTATTGAACACTGAACAGTGAGTGCCATCTGTTATAGGCGACCTAATAATAAATCCATATGTTGTGAACTGCTCACTGATTTCATGTTCTGCCAACAGATGGTGCTGTTTGCAACAACAATTTCTGCTAATTCAACAGTTTTTCCTTTTTCTATTATCTTTTTGACTACATTATATCATTATAGTATTAAAACGAGAAGCAACTAGATCTACGGATTAATCAGAGATTTAGGGTTCATGGAAAAAAAGTAAAGTAAAAAAGGTGTATATTCATAAAAATGATATAGCATATACAGCGTGTATTTTCCACCGCGACTATAAATGAACACACGTCTAACGCTACTTGCCAATAATCATAAAAATATTAACGTTAAAAAAATCCATAATTAAAAAAATGTTTTTCAAACAAACTAATTAAGTAAAAAAGAAAATCATTGTCTCACATGTATAACCTTTGGCTTGATGAACTCTGTTACTGAAATTGCTAGCATCACCTATCGCCACGTCGTTTGATATTAAAAATGTTCAGGGACGCCATTTCGTTAACTTGTCCGATAGTCTGTAAGCCCCTAAAAAACTCTTCTAATGCTGGTCAAGTGCTAATTGTCGCCTCTGTGGCTACATTTCGTTGCAGGATGGAACGACCCCGCTGATCCTGTCTGCAGCGATGGGCCACACGGACTGCGTTCGAGAGTTACTGGCGCAGGGCGCAGATCCCGCTTGCTGCAGAACGGTACCTTTAACTTCCGCCCTTAAATATCGTGGATAGTGGACCTGTCTCCTGCGATAAGATGTGGATTCGATCCCCACTACAGGAAAAATATTGTTTGATGAAAATATCATTTTTCTACTGTCTGCGTGTTTAAATAACATGTTTTTATTTACAAAAGAAAAATGTGTTTATGTTTATCTGTTACCTAGTATCTATATTAGAAGCTTTGCTTAGTTTGGGACTAGATAGCGTCGTGTAAAAAATATAAAGAATATATAAGAAAAATATTTGAAACATCTACTATACATATAACTGATGACTCCGTAGCGCAGTTGCCAAGGTATTGGCTTCGGCGTCGGGGGTCGTGGGTTCGATTCTCACACAGGACAACTATTTGTGTGCCCCTCAGATAGTTGTTTCGCATCTGGGTGTTTGTCCGCGTGAAATTTATGTTTGTAAAACGTCCTTTACAACACAGGATAATATTATCCTAAAGTAAGGGCAGTGTTTTTTATAAAAAAAAAAAAAAACATCAAGAAATCTATGATTGTTCTGTATTGTAGTCCAGATAAAATTTAAATGTGAATTTATTAGTGAATGTAAAGCACAAGACTGGCAATTTTGTAAATATGTATATGTGACTTTGCCCCTGAGTTGATTCGGAACTATCTGATCCCTGACCATACACGCGTTCCTCAGACGGGGACGAGCGCGCTGTTCTTCGCGGCGCAGGGCGGTTTCCTGGACATCGCGTGCCTACTCCTGGACGCCGGGGCCCAAATAGACACACCCAGCAAGGTATGACTAGCTGGCCAATTGTTAACTGTGTGAAGGGTGGGCTAGCCACGGGCCTCCAACCTGACGGCGGCAGGCTAGACGTTTATTTATGAACAAACAAGTGAAACACTATGGCAGATGCAGCACCAGACTCCAATGTTTATCCATAGCACCCACAAGTTACTAGCAAACTACTAATGGTACTCGAAGACTAAACTAGTAACATACCGGAAAGCAATGGAATGGAGCGTTCTAAAAATAAGAAATCACAAGAAGTAAAAAGTGAACAAATAAAACAAAAAACGAAAGTTATAAATGCCCTCGACTATGGCCCAAAAACAGAGGCTGTGGGACATGCAAAGTTGGACAATTGAGGCAATTACGTGGGAAGTAACATCGGAAAATGAAGAAGAGAGAATCCCATGAATCCATGAATCCATCCAAGAATGAGGAAAATGAAGAAGAGAGAATCCCAGAGAAAGATGGATAGAATATATAAAAGATATAAGAGAAAGTGAATGGAGAAAGAAAGCAAAGGACAAATAGGTTTGGAAAAAGCCTGCCCTTTAGGTATAAACCTAAGAAGGGGTTCCCATCAATTAAAATGAAAAGAGAAACGATAGAGTTATAATATAAAGAAAACAAATTTTAAATCAAGTCGTATTAATAAGTCCATGAGAAGATCACATGAGGTCTATGAAGTGCCATCATGTAATAGTACTTTTGCTCAATGTTTTTCTTACTTCCCGGCCCCATTACTTTATAATCGCCTAAGTAAAGTCAAGCCCCTCAAAAACATGACGAGATTCGTCTGCAAAAGTTTGGATTACGAACGGACATTAAGACAAAAAATTATTCAAATATGCAAGTAAATAAGTCTTCTATACAGAATATCAATAAATATATATTTGGAAATTACATTTAGGTACAAATTACTGAGTAATGAAATATGCATAATATTTATTTAGTAATAATAAGAAAATATGAACTTATGTTTTTCACAAAAGAAAAAAAGGGAAAAAAAATAACAAAATAACAAATCGACAAAAAATTAAAAATGAAGAAAGCAATGATCTGGAATCGAAAAAAAAGTAAGAAAATAAATGTGTAAATGATCGTGACGCGAACCAAGGCCGTCTGTTTTGGGGCCGCCCGATTACCGACCGAGCTATTATGACATTTTCTCTTGCGGCGAAATTTACCGTCATATTCGAATTATATTTTTCATTCCCTGAAAACAGGGATAAAAGGATATTTTCTAAAAATGAAACCTAGCTAGATCGATTTTTCGCCCCCGAATCTACGCATATACTAAATTTCATGAAAATCGCTGGAGCCGTTTCCGAGATTCCGATAATATATATATATATATATATATTCTTGTATATATATATATATATATATATATATATATATATATATATATATATATACAAGAATTGCTCGTTTAAAGGATAAGATTAAACTGCCCGGCTATTTATACATACATTTTTTATTAATAATAATTCATTTGTTTATCTATAACAGTAACACTGTAATTTATTTACTTTTTCTTCTCTTTTCTTTTGTTTCATAAGATGTAGTAATTTCTATCGTATTATTTTCTGTTTCATTAATTTCTAGTTAAATTGTGTATGTTTTATAGATTGTGTGGTGCAATGTAACTTACGATGAAAAAATAAATAAAATACATAAATAAATTTATTAATTTGATTCATTTACATATTATGTTAGAAACAATATCATTATTACTAGCTGTTAACTGTCAAAGAGAATGAACAGCGAGTTTCCTATATAATGAATTCGCCACAGGCCACAGATGGTATAGTTACGGTATTGTAGCTAACTCAAAAATTTGCTTAAGTTGTTCATCAGGGTTCCTGGGGCGCTACTAGGTAAAGATTATTTTGGTGTAGCATAAAGAAGTAAACTCTCGAACATTCATCGAAGGCTATATGCAATATGTTAGAGTGAATGTAATTAAATAGCGAATAATAAATATAAATATTGTATTGGTGTCATTTATATAATTATGTTACAGGATGGTGGTACACCGTTGTTCGTGGCTTGCCAATGCGGTCACCTGTCAGTAGTCGAAGAGTTAATACGAAGAGGCGCCAACGTCAACTCTTGCATGAAGGTTTGTGTTTTACTTCTGTTGGAGGAACCTAGGAGGTTCTACTTGGAGGAACCTCTAATCCTCCAACGGAGAAAAAACAGGGCAAAAGAAAAAAGGTCTTTTTGTCTGTTTTTTTTTTAAACAATTACATTAATATTTTTAGAAACAGCTTAGGAGCGATCATCTCATTCCCAGGGGTTGTTATCATCAATGTATTCATTTATATTATAATAACCCTTTTTTAAAAGGTTTTCTTTAATAAATTCTTTAAACCTGTTAATCAAAATCCCAGTTTTTGAACTGGGATTTTGTTGTAGAAGCATGTACACCGTCCTATGAACGAGCTACTGACTAGAGTCTAGTAACTGAGGTTACAAGCTTGTATTTGTTCATAGTATTCACATTATGTATGCTATGGAAATAACTAAAATAAACGATTCTAGCTGTATTTATATCAGTCAGACATCTTATTTTCCTTACAGAATATGCTGTAGAATTTACCCTGTTAGCAAGTTTGGATATATGGGGCCCCATTGAAGCTTTGAATTAATCAAAAAAGAAACTGTGGTATCTAAAAGGCCTAACTCGTCCCTATTTATAAGTATATTGGTACCTCTCAAGTTAACATAAGGTGTTGAAAATTGTATGCATCTAGTTTTATTGCAATTGAACAGTAAATTTATAGCATTAAATCAATGAATTATTTCTGAAATAGCATGATTTATGTCGTCATATACCTTGGTAAATCAATAATATAAATGAGAAAAAGTAATGGGCCGAGAATCGAGCCTTGCGGAACGCCCATTGATATCATCGACCCAGAAGAACTTGCACCATTAATAACAACTTTTTTACATAAATATGAGTTAATCAAGTCAAGTGCGGTATTTTAATGCCATAATGGCGGAATTACCGGATAAGTGTTTTATGTTTGATGCAATCAAAGGCCTTGGTAAGATCACAAAAGACATCCAGAGTATCCTGTGAATTCTCCTAAGCCTCAAATATATGCTTGATCGGTTCTACATCAGCATCGGTTGCAGAGCGTTTGTAAAATCAAATTGATTATTGTAATAATATATGGTTAAATTGTGTGTTCATTTATTAACAAAAAAATTTAATTTAAGCCGCGTTTTAATAGGGGTCAACATACACGTTGTATGTTATTTCGTCTTTGTGGGAAAAAGTCGCTGTACATTTGTTTTGTTATACCATGAAGTGGTGAATGGCATGCCGCTTGAGGAGGTAACACTACCACATGTTTTGTGTGGCTTTTGTTTGACAAAATCAAAACGTATAACGGATTCGAACACGAATGGTTTATATCGTTATCTTTAAAAACGGTATTATCAATAAAATCGTGTCTGTTGTATACTTTTTAGTTGTGTATATGGCCCACTTAAACATTTTTTTATTGTTTCTTAAATGTTTTTTGACGTTAAGCGATAGCCGCCGCTCATGGACATTTGCGACACCCGGACAGTTGCGAACACGTCGGCATCTTTGAATAGAGCGAAAGTGTCAACTATAAGTGTATAACTATCACGGTTCATGAGATACGTAATGGGTCTGGTGTGTCCCGACGAGAGAGACGTAACGGGCGAACGGTCGGCCATCCGGCGGCAGGACGGCGCGACGCCGCTGTTCATTGCGGCGCAGAACGGGCACGAGGCGGCGTGCGCGGCGCTGCTGCGGGCGGGCGCCGCAGTGGACGCGGCGCGCGCCGACCGCGCCACTCCGCTCTGGATCGCGGCCCAGTGCGGACGTGCGCAGGCCGCGCGCGTGCTGCTGGCCGCCGGCGCCAGCGTGCACGTGGCGCGCCGCGACGGCGCCACGCCGCTCTTCAAGGTAACGCTCGCTGGACGAAACGCGAAATCGTTCCACCACAGCTAAATATAGTGATGCTTTTTTCACCGAACAGAGGTGTGTCGAGTATTACAGATTAGAATCAGAAATGAAAAGTATCAATCGGCCCAGGCCGCGCACAAGGGCCACGCGCAGGTGGTGGCCGCGCTGCTGGAGCACTCGCCGCGGCCGGGGCTGCTGGCCAACGGCCAAACAGCCCTGCACGGCGCCGCCATGTTCGGCCGGCTGGCCTGCGCGCGGCTGCTGGCCGAGCGCGCGCCGCACCTGCTCAACGCGCGCAACGCGGCCGGCCTGACGCCGCTGCAGGCCGCGCAGGCCGCCGGCGCCCACGACGTCGCCGCCCTCCTGCGCTCGCTCGCCCCCCCGAGCGCCCCCCCCTCCGCGCCCCACCGCTAGTCCCGTCCCTTCACATCCGCCAGCCCCGCCCATCACAATAGCACCGCTCATTCTCTCGCCGGTGTACACTGAATCGCTACTCTCGCCAATAGCTTCACTCCGTCGCTCTTATGAGGACGCGTTACACTTTAAACACATTCAATGTAAAACTCTCATTTGTACATTCAATCTGTCGTGTAAAATAATCCCTAGTCTCCTCCATTCAATAGCTTAAGTCCATCCCTCTCACAAGAACATGTTAGGACACCTCAATAGAACCGTTCGTTAACGAACACGCACACTCACACACGTACTTATTCAATCACTCTCATATACAGACACGATCACTCATGGACTAAATAAAACAATCACTCGTAAACTACACTTCACTCGCGTCCAATATAAAACTCGCTCGTGTACACTAAATAGCTAATCTCATTCACTCACATTCGTTAGCTTTACCCTTCATTCATATAAGAATGACAGTATGACACCTCAAATCTCAATAGAACCATTCATTCGTTGACAAGCGCGCTTCCCCTCACTCAATACAGTATCATTCATTCGACCGCTCACATTCGCTACCGACCGAATGAATGATGATCTTATAAGACAAAACCAACAAATGCAACTGCACTTCCACCGATTTAATTAAATTACAAATCTATCTCAACGAAAAAAGTTTAATCTTAGCATAACTTCATTACACTTAACTGTCTTAAAAATTCAGATTACCTTTCCGAGTCAGACCATCAGACCTACATAACTATACATTCAACTTTTAATATTTTATATAGCTATTATACGACTGTAAACATACATAATCACTATAATAAGAATAGATCGCCTTAACACTTACCTCATGTAGAACATAATTTAACTTGCGAAAAATTTAACTTGAGTTTACACCGGTGCTGCTTAGATTAATTATACATTGGTAAAATACATTGTTACTAATCAAAAGAACTTTGAGCTTATAATATCAAGCATTCAAAAAGAACTTTGAACTTATAATATCAAGCATTCAAAAAGAACTGCGTCGTATACAATGTTCATATCACAGAACATCTGTCGTTCAAATGTCGCTACATTTAGCTTTTTTTTGGGTATTTGACTTGTAAAAAAGGTGGATGCTTGTAGTTTGTTTGTAACTTTATTTGTATTGAACAAAATGAAAAAATCATGTAAACAATCCCCTAATAACATTATTCATGTTATGTTCTAAATATCATTGCTCCTCACAAACACTGTAACATTTCAAAAAGTTTATATTTTACAGGAGTGCTTTACAATTACTTGAAATGCATTATTTAACACCTGCCCAATTGCAATAAGAATAATTTTTAGTTTGTTTGTTGCTTGTTTTGTTTGTTACATACACTTTTTATGACAATGCGTGATTATATGGGATTCGATTTTTAAAGTTTTTATTTGTCTATTACAATTTTAATGTGAAGAAAAACTTGACATTGGCGGATATTTCACAAAGCGAGCCATTAATAAAAGAAAGATGAATAAATCAAAACAAAAATTTGAATGAACAATCTGTGAAATAGAAACGTTTCATATTTTAACCAGTGTTGTTTAAGAGTGCATCATACACAATCGTATTTTTGTACATGTATTTGTAGTGTATACATTAAACAGAATTATTTAATGTCAAAGGCGTTCAATGCCAGCTTTTAACTGTCTCAATTATTCTTGAGTGAATCTCTCAATAAATACATGAGTCTCTTACTCTTAAAAGTGGAAAATATATTTCATCACATAATTTTAAGTTCTTACATAAGAATGTATATAACTACGTAAATAATAAACTTTATTAGTGACATTACGCTCAACCATTTTAGAATATGACTCATGTATGTTTTAATATCATGTCTATTTATAATTAGTTATACACAATTTAACTACTAACATGCATATGGAGCCAGTGTCTAATACTAAATAAGTACATAACTAGCTTATATAATTTAGGTAAGGGTGTAAGTGTTGTTGAATTTTTATTTATGTTACATGAATACAATTGTTTACAAAATGGACACTGTTTTATTGCAGTTTTGATTAATATAATTTATGGCCAATTTTTTAACATAATTATTTTAATTAAATTCTCTAAACATAATTTTTTTACAAAAAATTTTTTAATAAAAATAGGACACTTCAATTCAGGTATCAATAATTTTTAAATCATTTATTATAGTACATCATACAGTTGATGCAAATAATTAGTAAAAGAAATAATTATCATTTAGTACTAAAATATTAAAGCTAAACCCACTTATCATAGTCTACAATATCAAATAAATTTCTCTGAATGCTTACATATTATAGTAATGAGTCATAGAATTAGGTAAGGATGTGCGACGTTGGCTGCAAAGCTAGGCAAGCTGCGTCAGCAATGCTTCTTGCCAATGGGCGTCTCTCAGGTTGGCTTTCGGTGCAACTGCAGAAAAGTGCCAGCGGCTGCTCATACAATACAGGGCAGATGTTGCTCGGAATGACTGGCCTTGTACCTGGATATCAAATACCATAGGGGTTTTAACTTAGTTGTGTAAAAGTTACAGATGGATACCTACATACTGGGAAATCGAATCCATTACTAGTGACGCCGAACGTAGCAAGATTTAGCAATGTACTAACCCAGCCACAAAATTACCTCTACAATGAATTAAGTGTCAATGTACCCTTTGTATTTAAAACTGTCTATGACAGGTCTCTCCTGTCATGTTCCAATATGAATAACATTAAATGTAGGTACTTTTTACTTTTTTTGCCATTAAATTTCAATAAGTGAAGGTAGTGGCAAAAAAGAGCGACGATTGACGATGAGTGAGTCATAATACATATATTTAACATGTTTTATTATTATTCTGGACATAATTAATATCTCCACAACAGAATTTTATAGGAATAATATAAAGCATATTTTAAAACTTAGATAACTAATGCACATTATATACAATTCTTACCATATCTGTCAGAAAAATAGTCCTCCATGGAATCTGAACCCTCCACACTGTTCATGCTCTTGTCCATAGTGTCATCAATCTGAGTGTGTGGAGGCATCAATGCCATCATTTCCCAAAGCACCAGACCAAGAGGCCAGATATCGGTTTTGCAGCTGATGCTCCCACCGTGAACTACCTCGGGGGCACTCCAAGCTTCTGTACCTAAAAATCAGTTACCATACTTTTGTTTTATACAAATTTTTAAATAAATAAAACTATAATTATTATCTATGCTGATAAATAAAATTGGAGTATCTTTATGTCATACTAAAATATCTGCTTTGTACTAAATACATATGTACGGTACATATACCAAAATAACATTTTTTACAATCTTTTCTGTCTCCTTGTTCCAGCTAATCTCTGAAACGGCTGGACCGATTTTGACGGGACTTTCAATGGCAGATAGCTGATGTAAGAAGGAGTAACTTAGGCTACTTTTATTTTAAATTCCAAAACACTAGTAATATTATGTAACAGCACAGTAAATATGGTTTAATTTTTTATACTTACCATAGTAAACCGATCTTCCCGCTTTATTCTTATCAAGCACTCCATTTTCGTCAAGTGGTAATGTCACACCAAAGTCACAAAGCTTACAAATGACAAAGTCTCCATTAACTAGTATGTTGTAGGATTTCATGTCGCCGTGCAGTATTTGCATCTTATTGTGCAGGTAGTCAAGTGCATTGCCAATATCTGATGCCACCTACAAATATTATCAGTTAAAAATTATCTGTGCTTAGATCAGTAAAATAGTGACCAGCCTAAAAGTAAAGTAACAGCCTTTACATATCCCACTGCTAAGCAAAGGCCTCATCCTGTACAGAGGGTATTGGGGTATAGTCCCCCACTTAACTTATATGGACTTAACATATCTTCGAAATACTTTTTTTGTTATTATTTCGAAAATATTCAGGTTTCCTTCTTCACCACTGAGCACATGATAAACCAGCACTTAAAATTAACAATGGTGCCTGCAGCAGTTATCAATCTCAGGTTGCTGACATATATTAAATTAAAGGTGAGTGCCCGGACACTGAGCTATCATGGCTCTTCTCTCGGAAACAGTTACATATAACTTAAATGAAATTGGTAATAAATTAATTTTAGATCTCTAAGTATAGGAATCTTAAAAAGCTTTTAGATTATTTGCATACTGTTAATACTGAATTAGGTGTCTACATAAAACTTGTGAAATTAATAATTGAATAATGGGATTAATATAGTAAAAAAAATTACAACCATAATTATCAAAAGATTTTTTTGATTGCCCTTGCAATAAGCTAAATAGAATATGTGGTAAAGGTAAGTTTATCATAGCAAAAATTATTGAACACCTTTAAAATATTTTTAGGAGCAAAAGGCTCACAGTCATCTTCAACTATTTTCTCGATCATATCGCCGAGAGATAGGTCACACGCCTCCATGCCCAAGTAGAGTATCTTTGTTTTACCAAATGCTCGGAAGCCCACGATATTTGGATGGGACATTCGCTTAAGCAGATCTGCTTCAGCTTGCAATCTTTCTGTGTAAACCTTATTCGGCTTCACTCGTTTATTAAGCATTTTCAGGGCCCACGGAGAACGTATTTGGCCGGCCTTAGGAGATCTAACAAGCTGCATCACAGATACACCTGAAATGAAATGAATTTGACTCTCATGTTACATGATCTCCACAAATAAAAAAAATCTAGAAAACGAATTGCTTGCATTAAAATTCATTGACTTCTACGTTAAGCAAAAATGATTCAAAATTCAAAAATTAATAAAAACAAGAACTCACCAGTTCCATATCCCAAACGATTCAAGAAGGGAGAAGGTGGGATACATATTTTGTCATTTACTTCAGTAAGTTTGTTAGCTTTGATTGGTGTACAAAATTCAGCCATCGTTTAATATTGTGATCGTTAAATAACACAAGTTTTCAACAATGACGAGTCATGTAACAATATAACGTTTAAAACTTTAAACTTTAACGGATTATGTGGGAACCAGTTGACATTGACAATTGAGATTTGAGACAAATAATTGACAATTCCTATAGGATAATAAAAAGTTCTTCCCTATAGCGCCATCTAGCAGGAATACAAATTTGAGTTAAAAAACAGTTAATACAAACTTCTTTTATCACTGACAGATGGGGCTGTTATTAACAGTAACAACCTGGTTGTTATAGTTAATGACAGTGAAATTCTTGTAGACAATTTTTTATTTAAAAACAATGTGAGATACTTCTCAATTCATTCTACACTCCGTACTTTTAACTAGGCCCGTAGTCAGTATAATAGCTCAACAGCTCGCAAGAAGATCAAACTTCGTTTTGGTTTATTTATCTAAACTTCTGACTAAACGTTATATTCTAACTTAACGTCTATGGGGACGTCGTTTTATGACTGGTTAGCTGCTTGACAAATGTTTCAAGTATAATTTATGGTACTCATGTCTTTTTTTGTGTAAAAGGAGGCAAACGGGAAAGCGACCTACGGAGTTACAAATGCGTTGCCGACTTTAGAGGTCATCTAGGACTATCATGCTTAAGGTATCTAAGTTGCATCAAAGTCAAAGTATCTTTATTCAATATAGGTTTAACTTAAGCTCTTATTGAACGTCAACAAAAAATCTACCACCGGTTCACTAAACTAGACCCGAACAGAGAAGAACCGGCAAGAAACTCTGCGGTCTTGTTCTTTTTGTTATTTTTATTGTGATGCAATTATACAAATTTATTTAGGTATAAAATGAACAGCAGCCAGGGGTCTTGCAAGTGCAGAGCAAGAGTCATTTCCACACATCCTTGTCCTTAATGTATTCTTGGACATTATAGTATGCCTTTGCCTTTAAGGTAGTTTTTACAAATTGTTTGAAATTGTTTATACTTAGTTGTTTATGGATGTGACCTATTTTATTATAAAAGTTGATACCAAGAAACGACTTTCTGGTTTTAGCCAGTCTAAACCTCGGTACTTCGAGAATGTCACCACGGCCCGACGCGATGTGGAATGTTTTTTCGTAAATAGGTGGATATTATTACGTACATACATGATGTTCTCAAGTATGTAAAGCGACGGGAGTGTTAAAACGTTTATTTGCTTAAATAAATGCCGTAGTGACTCACGTGAACCCAAGCCATAGACAGCCCGTATAGCCTACTTTTGTAATACAAATATTGTGTCTACACCGGATGCGGAACCCCAAAGTATTAGTAGCATAATAATCTAATTTACCTGTTTCCTCGTTAGTTAGCTGCCTGGCTGACTACTCCCGACAGGTTCGAGTTCTGAATCAATCGAATTTGACTCGGCAGCATTGTAGAAAGAAGGCGTTAAATTTTCGTCGCTGTGGCTATCAGCCGTTTAGACTCGAATTCGTGGCAGTTCGAACCACTGAATCTGACGCCAGCGCACAATCGAGTAGTGGCTCTAATTGGAACTTACTAAGATCGGATAATTTTTTCGAAAAAAATTAAGCAATTAACATTTTATCTAAGAAAGATGTTATAACCGTAAACATGGAACATTTGTCTGTGACGTAATAGGCCAGATACAGTTAACGGATTTGATAACGCACGGTTTTGTTTCTAGTTTCGATTCGGTTCGGGAGTAAGATTTTCAAATCGAGTTCGAATCGAAAACAAAAACAAATTCGAATCGAATTTGAGGAGTAACACGGCTGATCTTGCGTATGGCAAAGACGGCAGCGCTCAGTTTCTGAGCTAACTTATCTACATGAAATCCCCATTGCAACTTGGAGTCAACGCTTATTCCTCTGCTGTTGAATCCTCGAGGGGTAGGATTTTCCCATCAATAGAGATTCTTGATTGGTGACACAACTTTGAAAGAGTAAATCTAATACATTTTGTTTCAGTGGAGTTCAAAAGTAAAGTAGAAGGTACATCGGTAACAGTTCATAAAATGTACGATACCGTTTTGTACGATCCGGGTTTGTTTAATATTCAAACGTTTCGTGACGCATTATGTGAGTTTAATCTATACATTTCGGCGCTGTCTGAATTCTAGGAAACGTGTCCAGACCCTTTAGCAGTTAAACGCTCGATATCTTCACGGAGCGATAAATTTTTAGACAACTTATCTATAAAACTGTCAAATTACATTTGAATGTCATTTAAATTTCAGTGCACAGTTAAATTTCCTCTTTAAATCAAAATACGATCACAAACGTGCCTAACAAGACACTCTGAATCGAATGTTTTCGTAAGCCAACAACATCAAAATGAAAAATATATTTATTCAAATAGACGCTTGCGCGTTCTTATGAAATGTCAAAAATTTTAGATAAAAATTAATACGTTCTTAAGTTACCACAACGAAAACTTTATCCTCTTTATGGGCACTCTGTCTTTTGAAATAGTCTTTAAGACTAAAACCATTGATGAAGGCAAGGATAAAGAATCTTTAGCAATAGAGGGATTCGTTAGAGTCTATAATCTATATCGTATATAATTATTGCAGCGGTTAGTTGTGTATTACTTATTTAGTTTTAGACACCTATAGGAGTTGATATAATAATAATAAAATATGTTTATTCACATCTTAGCTAGCGCGTTCTTATGAAACGTCAACATTTTACAAAGAAATTAACACGTTCATAAGTTACCACCGGTTCGGAAAGCAGTTTCTGTTGAGAAGAAACCGGCAAGAAAGTCAACAGTTGCTCTTTTTCAGGTCAAAAAGGTCAGTTTACAATATAAGTATTGTATTAGTAATTATATATTATATGTATAGTTTTTTGTAGGTAGGTATCGTTTATTACATTTGGTTTTATTTTACCTTACATCGAATATTTTGGGCTCATACCATTTAAAAATCGAAAGTGTAAAATGTCGATGAAATTTAAAGTAAAGATGAAATTTCTTGACTGTGACCTGTTGTTATTACCAGGACTTAATGACAGGTAGTTCGTTTATGTAGTTAAAATTTCAATCTTATCGTTTTTCCACTTTTTGTTGTAGATCGTGAATGTAAACTTTCGACTAAGATTCCGAATCATCAAATCAAACACATCCTATGCAATTTACATACATGAATAAATTACATAGAAATAGCGGAGATTTATCAAACTTTCCTGTTATTTATGGTTGTATCAGACACGATAATTACCTTTACTGAAATGGAAGTTGTATTGACCTTTTGAACCTATTTTAGGGAATTTACAGAAAATATTTACAACGGTTAACATATTGTTATTTTTATCAATGCTGTAATTAATTAAATTCGCTTTTTTGTTAATAAGATTTATATTTTATAATTATTCAACAGAATGTTATGATTGTAATCGAATGGCGTCATAATTGGGGGAAATAGAAACTTAATCCGTGTGAATTGCTGTAATAATTATTTAAACTTTCCATGAATACATAATGTATATTGATGAATTACTAAAATTACTCAGTAGAGGAATTAACTATTTTCAATAATAACAGAACGTAAGACTTCTTTTCAGGCAATATAAAATATATACATAAAACGGAATAGCCAGAAAAGACAGCCGAATTGGGCAGAAAAAAGTGCGTTCCCAGTTTTAGAAATAGTATAAAAATAGAAGATTTAGAAGGCTAACTTTTTGTTTTAGTCAGATAAAAAAACGGAAAACTTTTTTATTAGTCACACTGCACACTTTTCGGAAATATAAAAGTTCATTTAATAATAAGGTTTAATATAAAGGTTTACATCTAACGAATTTTTAAGTTTTTTTTTAAGTGGTTCGCAAGTTATCCATTTGCCTGAAACATTCCACACACATGATCCCGAATCTAATGTTATCGTTTTAAGGGTTACGTACCCAAAGGGTAAAACGGGACCATCTTACTAAGACTCCGATGTCTGTATGTCTGTCTGTCCGTCTATCATCGCGCTGTATCTCATTAACCGTGATAATTAGACAGTTGAAATTTTCATAGATCTGTTGCCGCTATAACAACAAATGCCAAAAACAAATTAAAAAAAATATATAAGTGGGTTTCCCATAAAACAGACATGTTTTTTACCGTATTTTATAGATATGGTACGGAAGCGTTTGTGCGCGAATTCAAGAACAAAGCGATTCGCTTCGTCATTTATCATCCGTACTAAGGAATGGAGGAACTTGCCGGCGTCCGTCTTTCCGGTTGCATCGCCAATTACTTTCAGGTGGGATTGCAATCAATTGCTGGCCAGTTTTGAATTAAAAAAATAGTGCTGGCGGCGTGAACCTATCAAGGGTTACGCGAAGTGTGTCGGTTATTATTATTACCTGTTTTTCGCCGACCCAGCGACTGAAAGCGAAGACAAACACAAGTTGCGACGTCTCGGGCGGTCGTTGCTCAATGGGGATGCGTCGGGCGCTGACCGTACGCTAGTATCGCCGTGCGCCAGTAATCGGCCAGCAATCGCCGCGCGCGCGTGCGTCCTAACATGCGGACATGTGACCGTGATGCAAGCCCGCTCAGCCCCACGAAGATGTCCCGCCACAGTTTCAGGTATGCGGGGGAATTGGTGCGCATCGCGGCCGTCCGAGTGCGGAAAAAAATAGCAACGAAATGGCGCGCTTTTTGACAGTGACGTACGATTGAAAATCGGTCGAGTTTTTGACAGGCCGAGAGGGCAAAGACAACGCGCTCGGTCCGGACGTCCGAACCGAACATGGAGATTTCTAAATTAGAGACGATAATTATTTCCGATTTCTTTTTTTTTTAGATTAGATCGAACGTTTTATTGGTTGATTTGAATATTTATGTGGTGTATAACGCACGTGGGGAAAGTCGGTTAACCGATTGATTTCGCGTTATTTTATGCATGCGCCGGGGCGTTTGCAAAATTCGCCCGAACGAATTCAGGACGATGCGAAAATGCGGGTAATTTTCGCACGGACGGCGCATTCGACGGAAGAGCATTATTACGATAGTGTTAAGTGCAATCGATCGCGAAATACCCGTTGCTCATACTCTTACGCTGACCGATTCGCACGGGAAGACGCCGCGGGGCCGCTGGCTTCAAACCAGTCGCAAGTTCAAGTATAGCGCCGAAATATGAATATTGATGGACGACTAGGGAAAACTGTCTTGAAAAACTCGAACGCGCAAACTTACAAACTTGCTTATTATGTATTCGACGGTACTCATTGACTATTCAATTTCATATTTACAAACAAATGCGTCTAAAGTCTTTCGGAATCAAATTCGGATCGAAATTTTAGATTCTCCACAGTTGTTTAATTTATATTTCATGTAATAACTAGATTAAAAAGTTTGCTTTGTTGAGTTGCAAGTAATTATCCGAATAATCGGGTTGTCAATAATAGCAGAGAATCGTTATTCAGCTAAGTATTCCATAAGTTCACAACTATCAATCGGTTATTTGAAATGGTGACACGCTTGAGTTCTGTAATTACAGGTTATGCCTGAACTAAAATTTAGTCCAGATCAGTTGCTCCCGATCTTTTGCTATCCCAATGAGGAAGACTTTAATATAGGATAGGTACATCCATTGTGATCAACAATGGATGTACATTGCCGTCATAAATCTAATTATTCTCATTTTTTTTCCATTCTATCGTCCTTTTTATCGTAAAATAGTCTGGAAAGCGTATCTTAACCAATGACATAAGAATTAACGAATTGTTATTCAATAACGTAGGAAATACACGTCCATTGAATATGCAAAGGGAAATGAACAGTTAATTGGCGGAAATACAGAAAAAGAAACAATGATAAATTATCCAATAGCAATATGAAGGTAATAAGTATCACACATTTTGGTGGTTGATATCGTTATACGCTAGGAAACGTTTGCTTACGTTTCTCAAATATCGCATGGAATGTAATATGATTAGCGAAACAGGAAAATTTAGATTGAGAGTAAATTTTGTTTTATATTTATTCGATCAATTTTATATTTTCAAAAGCATTTGTGCAGTAAGACCTTGCTTTTACTCAAAATTGACTAATTAAATTCTAGGTCAACCGGAAGTACCTTATAGGTTTTGGGTCGAAAACCTTTATGGTAGTTATCGTTGACCTAGAATCATGAAATTTGTCAAAAAGCAGTCTTAAAGCACAAATAAAGGAAAAATTCCGAAAAAATTAAAAAGTTGAAAATTAAGGTAAGTTTTCGCGAATATATAAATTTATAACGTTGACTCAGGACCTTGATTTTTATATGTAATAGGGAATAAAGACTTCAGTATCTGGTAAAAATTTCAACTTCCTAGGTCCACCCGTTCCTAAGAAAATCGGTGGTGAGTATTTGCCAATTTTATTATGGCGATATAATGGGCAGGTACGGAAACCTCTTTGTTCGCGTTCTACTCGCACTTGACCGGTTTTTTTGGCAACTGCGCCACGGAGCCATCAACAGGATTGAGATGTGAGAAGTTAAAAACCGGGCCAATGGTTCACATTAAGCAAAGTGTTTCCCGCCGCCCATCCAACAGCTGTGGGGTTAACACGTAGAGTGTTTACTATATTAGTGTTTTCGACGTTTCACCATAAGGGATATCATCGCTCCTTGAAGATACAAGGTCATCTCATAAGTCTTTATGGATTAGAAAGAGACAGGTGGCTGTCGTCGAACAAAAGGTACATAACCATTTTCATGAAGTACCTCCATAATTGTTGGAGTTGAACTATTGTTACCCAAACGCTTTTGAAACTGTTGAGTTTGAATCTTGAGGCATAGTACACAATACAAGCAAATAGAGTATCAAGATCCGAGGAAGGGATGATTGTTTGTGATGTTACAGTGTGTATGAAAGGGTTGAATTAGTTGAGTAATTAAGGTCAAAAATGACGCATTAGGTAACAAATCCATACTAATATTATAAACGCGAAAGTAACTCTGTCTGACTGTCTCGCTTTCACGCCAAAACTACTGGACTGAACTGATTTAAATGAAATATGGTACACAGATAGACTAGAGCCTGAGAAAGGATAAAGGAAAGGAAAGGATAAAGAATAGGCTATTTTTTAATTGGTAAAAAGTGTTGTAAAGAATTGAAAGGTTAAAGAAAGATGTTTATTTAAGGGCTTCAACGCGAGCGGAGCCGCGGGCAAAAAGCTAGTAGTTATATATACGTAAGGCTTCTTCACAAAGACGATAGATGAAGCGAGAAAGAGAATAACAAGTTGCTAACTTCGCTGGATGTACGGCGTAGATGCAAGCTTGTTGTCACAAACGACGAATAGTCCTAAGTTAGCTAATAAATCTCAGGTTCTTTCCGATTGCACTGTTATTGTTCTTGCCATGAAAGCATGTTGCACGCACCCGGTCAACATTTCGGCTGCAGCGCAATCGATATAATTATGTATTTCTAAAGCGTTTCGAATTTTCACACGTAAGGCCTTATCGCGTAGAAAGTTCATTGCCGCAGTTAGCACAATGTAATCTGAAAGTGCCTGATCTAAAGCCTTGAGGTAAATTTAAAGCGAATTCAATATGTATATTAAAAGAATTTAATTCACGCTTAAAGACAATGTTAAACGAATTTAATTCTTTCTAGGTACTGAGTCTATCGAACGAAAAATTACAAAAAAAAAAAAGTTTTTTAAGTAGTACAAAGATATTTCAAACAGCTCTGCGCTGCCCTACTGACTAGCAGAATTGCGATAAAACTTTTCGCGTTCAAGTCCGGTTTACGTCTAGTAATTTGTTTTACTATACTTTTTTTTAATAAAAACATTGCTCTTACTTAAGGATAACATTATCCTGTGTTGTAAGGACATTTTACAAACATAAATTTCACGCGGACAAGCAGTGCGAAACAACTATCTGTGGGTCACACAAATAGTTGTCCCGTGTGAGGATCGAACCCACGACCCCCGACACCGAAGCCAATACGTTGGCAACTGCGCCACGGACTCGTCAAACCTTATTTACCTTTATTTTTTATTTAAACTTCTTTTTCTTCTTCTTCTTTGAAATATTAACATTCAATTAGTCATGTATTTTCAAATTAGAATACCTGTGTCTGTGATTGGTTTTGATTGAATATGTATGAGATTCTTTTCTTATCGTATAATAATTTAAAAACAATGTAGAATATGGTTTTATCGAACTAGAACGTGAGATTTTCTTTCTAAATGCCACATAATATTCAAAACAAAAGATATATTTGTGTTTACAAGAAGTTGCCAACTATAAAACATAGAAAGTTCGTAGGTGGATCGGTTACTAACTAACCATCGTTCAATGACATAAACTGTCATGAATGCCATGCTTGAATAATATTTTGTAAATTGTGTTGAAAACTTTTAAGCTCCTACAGTTAACATTCAAGCTTAGTTTCTTTCACAGACTTTTATAAAAGTATCGGTTTTTGGCTCAAACTTGACTTTAATGGGTCAAAAGTTCAAAACGGATGGTGGATCTGTCAACACATACAACTTCATATTAAAACTGTGTACAGATTTTATTAATTAATAGACATTGTTTATACTAAAAGCTAGGTTGTTAGACCATATAATATAGTGCAAAGTAAATATTATCGTTTGTAAAATAGAAACAATATCTTATCCATTGTAAAACGAAAGGCAAGTTGGTCATAATACTTTTCAAATGATTTGTAACCACCGGTGATTCATTCCGGTTGTTTTACGTTTGATTTCCGCCGCAGAGGATATTGTAACGCTATCTATATATTAACAACATAATTATAATTATAGCGACCCCTCAAATTTATTCACACGGTAAATTCATGCATGATTAATAATTATCGACTATGTGTTATTACGGCGAATTGTTAATTACTGAACAAAAACTACAATTCTTTAAATTCTAAAAGTATTGGAATTGGTCATTCTGTGAAATTAAATAACATCTGTGACTTTAGTAGAGTATTCATTTAATTCTTCTTACCTCTTGTTCTGCCATAAATCAATGTACCTAACTTTTATCAAGATCCTCCATGCTTTCGTTGCATACAATAAACAATACATCAACAAATTTAATTTTTTTATAGTGCTAATCTCTGCACTTAAGATTAAAAATTAAAATTCGTAGGAAAAGTACGAATACTTTGTTGCCGCTGTGGGAATCGAACACACGTCTTCGGCATTCGCGGCCTGACGCTTTTGCCACTAAGCTAAACGGCTGATTGCACACCAAGAGAATATTTCTTTTAGTATTTAGTATTATATGGTTGACGGTGTCAGTTACATACTTGCTAAATATCATAGGCCTTATGAATTATATTATGGTCTAGTACTAATATGTAAACTAAAAAAAAAATAGCTCGCGTTCGTGGTTAAATGTGAAATCCCGCCATGAGCACTTATGCGATTTCAATTTTTTTGGATTACTTACGCATTAATGTTGCGTAATAATGCCCCGTTTCATACACACTACGTTTCATGTTTTCGCAATGACATTTACTCCTAAATGACCGTTAAAGTGTTTGGGGTAAAATCTTTATTTTGAACTGGCTGAATATTGAATCAGCAGTCGGCCAGTCCAGCCCAGGAAATAGATGGATAGATACATTTTTGTTGTCTCTGGTTATTCGGCTAACTGTCCCACCATCTCGATGGTTGTCATCGCACCTGCAACGATTGTGGTGATAACATATCATCTGTCGCTTCCTCATTAGCCACCTTATGTTTTAAAGGATTGTTTATATCTACTTCATAACGTTTTTTCACAATCGACAAGCGAGTCCGGCAGCAGTTCTGTATAGCAATGAAATATTTTATTAATTAAACACGTTACGAAACCCCGCTCTATATTTTTAACGCAACATTAAATAACGTCTTCGCCCTACGTCGTAACTGGCAAGTTAACCTCTATTTAATAGACGATTAAAAGCGAATCTGGTGCGATTGTTTGGCCATGTCTGTTTGGCTATGCGTACTTTAAAACACTTAGTACGCAAATAAAATAATTATACAATCGAGTTAAAAGTGTAACGCCTCCCAAAAGACGGATTTAAGGAAATATAATTATATTGTAACAGTCTTGCTTGTCGGTTTGCAATTTCAGCGTAATTGTAAATCGCTTAGCTTCAAATTAACCCAAATTACTAAACATTTTACGCATATTAAAATAAAAGTTTGTAATGAATTACTATAATTATATCATTTGCTTTAAGATTCGTAATTGTGAGCATTCGGTCTGTAGACAATTATTGCAGGTAATTAAAAAAATAGCTTCGCATGTCCTAGATATTAATCGTGTGTTTAATATAATTATAATTGTTTATTTCGGACCATGATACATAATGTTAGTAATACAAACAAAGGGTACTTCGATTAACAATCGATTAAAATAAATATCTAAGTCCTCTTTTTACGCCATCCTACATCGCCCTGCGTGTTCCCGTGTAACCAAAAACGCAGAATTGGGCATTCCTCCTAATCCGAAAAGCACCTTCAGAGCGTTAACAGCCCTGCGTGCGTATCGATTGCAAGGAACATTGCAAATAAGGCATTTTTAACTTTTCTTGCACAGTGGGAAAACCTGCAGGCAAACATATACACTGGATAGTTAGTGCAATATTATAAATATGTATTGTTTATAAGAGCCACCGATATCCAAGAGCCGTGATAGCTCAGTGTCCGGGCGCTCGCCTTTAATTCTATATACTCGAGCAACCTGAGTTCGATCCCCGGTGCCGGCACCAATGAAGTTTTTAACTTTAAGTGCTGACTTATCACGTGCTCCGCGGTGAAGGAAAACGTCGTGAGGAAATCTGCATATTTTCCAAATAATAATAAAAAAATATTTCGAAAATATGTGAAGTCTGCCAATCCGCAGTGGGGCCGCGTGGTGGACTATGCTCTGATACCCTCTGTATAGAGGAGGCCTTTGCTCAGTAGTGGGACATGTACAGGCTGTTACTTTACTTTTTTACTGTTTATAATATTATCTGTTTATCCTCTCCCTCTCGCCAGTTTGTTCTTTCAAGTCCTATGTTACGATATGCCCTGACCGTGTGGTTAAATGCTAGAATTGTTCTCTCCGTGCACAGACCTGCTTTAAGTTTGAAATGGGAATTGCGTAAATTAATATAGGTAAACGCAATCTTAAAAACAATCGCAAGGATCGTATTTTCATTTTCCCCATCGGACACGTCACTCGTTTCCTTTCGTTTGGTTTTTTTTGGCAAATCCTCTGGTAAATGTTAGTGTTTTGAACAAAACCAAGAAACCGAAATACATGAGGTACAACATGCTGAAAGTGCTTAAATATAATGTAAAGACAATCCTCTCACGGCGACTTAGGCTTCGTCATGCTTCTTATGATATTACTAATAGTGTTTGACGACATACAAATTAGCTTTTCAAACGTAGAACACCCAGCGTCGACCACCTCCGGCAGCGTTTGCTAAGTAAAGTAAAAACAGCCTTTATCTCCCACTTCTCAGCAAAGGCTTTCTCTGTACAGAGGGTTAGGGCACAGTCCACCACGCGAACCCACTGCAGTTTGCTGGACTTCATATATCTTCGAAACATGAAGTCCGCCAAAAGAGCATGAATTATGTAATGTTACATTTAAATGGCTAATAAAATATTGGCCATCTAAATGTAACATTAGCAGTGGCAGTGTCAGATAAACACTAGCGATGCTAGTGTTTATCTGACACTTTTATTTGTTCCTGTTTGTATTGACAATAATTAAATTTTACTTTGAACATTTTTTAAACTCATTCATTTCACGACATATTGTTCCAGACTCAAGTTATCCATTAAATATTTATGATTTATAAGTTATTGCCCGGATATAAGACGTACAAGTTCAGAGGTTAACCATAATAATTAGATTTATTATGGAAACATGGAGTACAATGTGGTTTAATATCAAAGAGGTGTATTTCCATAGGGCGATATTGTTTAATAATATCCTATCGTTGTAACGTCTACACTTTGAATTGTTGAAACGACAATCTACATTCATGAGTCGTCGTTTTAAATAGAGGTTGTTCAATGGTTTTAAAAACTAACTGCGTAGTACCTTTATATATAGGTATACTAAATATAACTATACTAAAGCTTTAGGGAGTACTATACCACGGAAAAAATGATTTATGCGGGCACAAACATGATAAATAAAGGGAGAAACTCTCTAATTTAATATTCTGTTTATTGCAAAATAGGAATGTAAAAGAATGTTATTTTCGTCCGTAATGTTATTTTCATAGTTTGTTTAAACGGCATTTTAATGTAAATAATAATGACATCACAGACACTTCCGTTATGTAAATGCGTTGTTTTGGTTATGATTCTAAAACGCTACATATGAGTGAAGTGTGTTAACCTAAGAATATTTCTATTTCAGATCGTTCGTGCTGCACTTTGGTGTGCTGTTATTCATCATTGACGTAAGAATTAATGCGTTTGCGATAAGAAAACCTTACAACGCATCCTACATCGTCCCCCAGGACCTATCAGCCGAGGAAAGTTTACAGTTGGAAGTCAAACATGATCTTAAAAGGCCCAACGGCATAGACGGAGATATATCAAATAAAAATAATGATCTTTCGACTGTTAACAACGTCAGTGTAAAAGACACCATGTCATCCGCTGTTCCCCAAATCGCGACTACAACGGAGCTTATTGATAGAAGTTCCGCGAAGGAGGCTTCTGCGGAAATGGAAAAAATCATTAAATCACAAGAACCATTTTTAGCACAATCGTTAAAAATATCAAAAAGCTCAATTGCAACCAATATTAATACAAATTTGAAACCTGACCAAGCTAGTGATATGGATAAGTCTATGACAGTTACCTTAGAAAATATTAAAGCTAAAACAGTATTAAGTGATATAACAAACTCCGGTACAACAAGTGTTGTCACCGATAACACGAAAGTGCCAACTACCAACACGGTATCCCAGAAAACGGTTCAACCAACTGTTTCTATCAGCGAGTATTCTAATGACACAAATACTAATTTACCGCCTTGGAAAAGATACACGGTAATTGATCGTAAACGTGTAACCATGAATGACGGTATTACAATTTCACCGGAAAAGTATGAAGAAATGATTAAAGAAGAATCCCGTGTAACTATAAAAGATTCATATACATCAAATTCTTTGTCTTTAGAGAAAACAACCGAAGATTTTCTTTCTTTATCACAACAAATGTCACCAGTGGAATTTTTATCCGGTACGACTAATGAAGACGTCATGGTAACAGAACACACGGATATAATAACAAAATCTGAGAAATTGCCGACAGAAAGACTGAAATTTGAATCGGTTTTCTCTAAACGAGCAGGATTTTTGAATTTATCATCAAAATCAAAACAGATCGAAACAACAACTGAAAATTTCGTTTATGAATCCACTACAGATGGTGATAACACAACACAAACAATAGAAATTAATTTACAGGAGCGAATAAGACCCAATTTTGCAGAGGACGTGAGATCACAAAGCTATTTAGTAAGCACAATTTTATTTTATTTTACAAAACATTTGATGTTAAAAATATACGTGGATTAATTTATTAAACTCTTAAAGGCAAATATAGTTTATTAGAGCCATTAATGAGAACACAACTCAGATTAATTAAATTTTATGCTACTATTTTTCGTCATTGCTTTCGATACTTATTCTCCTAATACTAACCTTTTATCCTTCGCAGGATGAAGATGCTATTAAAGAAGTGTTACTGCAAGAGACTTCGCTTAAGAATAATGAAGAAATTTCAGAACAAAATCGTGAAGAGATATTCAATAATACCGATACCACGTTCGCCACTATAGAACCGTATAATACGGAAATTTCAATTCACGATACAGAATCAACATTTCAAACAGACGTCACTAGTACTGATATATCAGTCAGTGGTAAGTCGCATAAGGATAAGGCTAAAAGTACAAAAGTGTATGCAGTCAATCCGAATTACAAGCCAATGAAAAAAATTGAAGTCCAACCTCCCAAGTCATTAGTGAGAGATCCAGACGACAATAGCTGGAGAAATGAGAGTATAAGTTCACTGGGGATCGTTTTCAAACCAAAGAACTCTTCGAAACCTTTCACTCAAGTCTTAAAGAATAAGACAGAGACAGAATGGAGCAATATATTGAGTAGAGATAGCAAAAATGATCTGCCTGATCTGAGAGAAAGACTGGAGAAAATAGCCCAGAGAAGGAAGTCGAAGAAGAAGAAGGCAGATGTGTTTGGCAATATTATTTATACTGACTACGAGGAAAATAACAGTTCAGAGGAAATAACAAATACTGAAAGTACTGACGTCACTACTACAACGATAAGCACTGAAGAGGTTACTACGTCCACGGAAAGTACACTCTCAACTCTATCTATAGTCACATCGCCAATAATATCGAGCACTGTAACAACCGATACAATTACCACCACACAATCGGTCGAAACAAATAAGACAGAGATGACTATGACTCAACCTATGACTTCCACTAATAATCTTAATTTGTCCCAAAGCAATGTACCAAAAAAGATAAAGTTTCAGCCTTTTACCACAGAAAAAGGGAAGAAATTTTTCAATGTGTTCGATTACTATGATAGTTCGGATGACGATGAAAATGAATATGTGGAATTAGCGAAATTGGAGCTTAAAAAATTTACCGTTCCGCTACATAAGTCAGAAACACCTTTAACAACATCATCACCTCAGGCATATCAATATACTAAACCTTTACGTCAATATTTACCTGATAGGCAACCAACTATTCAATATTTCCCTCCGCTAAATGCAAATCAACCAAAACCTAATAGATTCGATAACGACTTTGAAAAGAAAGTCAAGTTCAATATGAAGAAAGCTTCTCCGAAGCGTATAGTTTCTCTCACAAACGCACCGGACACACCTTTGGGTAAATATCACTCACGATATCCGGAAGAACAAAGCACCATAAAACCCGATCACGCTTTATTTCCCGTCGAGTTGCGAACAATGTACAAGTCAAATGAATTCACAAGGAACCTTTACCAATCCACTCCGCCACAGATAACAACGGAACAGAACAATGGATATGGAGTGGTTGATCACAACGGTGGCTTCAACCGTGCCACATACGTAATAAAAAATTACAGAGATTTCCTCGAACAGGCCGCCAAAGACTATGATTACGAGAGGGACGTAGATTTCGCACCTTACACGGAACCGCCGTTGCGGGGATTGACGATGAGCGATCTGATTGTGCAACGGAAAGACGGAGCCAAGTCGAACGCGAACTTCAACTACGATTATGACGCCAAGTTCCGGAAGGATGTCCTACAGAGATTCGTCGATAATTTCAACCATAACGAGGCACGATACAACACCGATTTCCCGGTTTTGTACAATAACAGTGTTATGCACGTAAACTTGGCGGGAAACGGCGAGGCCGCTGCGTCGTCTAGAGCGTTTCTAAAGGGGCTGTACAACCCGTCGGACAGCAAGCTCGGGTACGCTCGCAGGGCGTACCCAAACGACGACCCCAACTGCGACAACGGAACGGTGGAACTTTCCCCTGCCTACGAACTCCATTATTACGTACCGGACCAGGAAGAGAAGGAGGAGGTCGAACCGAAACCGCCCGGTTTGCGTTGAAGATTACATACAAGTCTGCACTTCCTTTAGACATGTGACTTGAACAAAGTAAGAGACAAAGGTACGGGGATGCAATGTGTTTAGAGACCTTATTATATGTAGGCTGGCATTTTGTGAAAGTGATTATGCTTAGAAATTCATTTTTGATAGAACATTTGAAAGATGTATAGGTATTAGGTTTTTTTTATTGTGGGGTTAATTATCATATGTTTACGGAAGTAAGGTTGAAAATTAATTTCTTTTACTTTTACGGCATGAATCTTATTTACCACCGTTATTTATCGATAGCATAAGTGTCTTCTTTACGGATTCCAATATATAATGTAGCTTCAATTAATAAGTGCCTATATAAAATCTTATAATCACTTTATTATTTTATACATCTATCTGACGCTTAGATGTAATTCATACATTTAATGTGCCTTTTTATCCTATAAGAATTGACTTCATTCAAATTTAAATTCATGAACCTTTATATTTTTATTGAAAATAGGATTTAACTAAAGGTTTTTTGTCATGTGGGTTTTAAAATTAGAATAAGTTTTTTTTAATCTTATGTACCCTTAACTACCTTTGCTTATTTATTTTTGAAGCGTAATTTTCTAAACGCAAAGTAGCGTTTTAGTGCACCTTGTCAATTTTGGGGTTTGTAAATATGTATATGTTAATTTTCCTTGTTAAAGACATAAATTTTCTATTAACGTGTACGTTTTACTAATTTATGTACATATTATACGCCTAATGTGATTTAGAAATGTGATTTATTTATGATTATGAAAAGAATTAACACTCGACGGCAAGCTGTATGTCGGTCAGGGGCCATTGTATTGTAGAATTATTGATTGTGTCTCGGATTACGAAGTAACGGCTGAGCCGCGAGCCTCCAACCGTGACCATACCTGTAGAGCGTTATTCGATACAAATAAACTGTACCGAACAATGTTTGATTTTTTATTAATACTGTCATCCATACGATTAAACATTCAATTAAAATAATCAAGAAATAATTAGCATCACGCTTTTACTCTTGATTCATTTATTTTAAATCTATGAAATTTCTTTAGGGGCTAAATATAAAGCAAATCAGAATTAAGTGGTTGGAGTAACTAGAAGTAACGCATAGATATTTAGCCTAATACCGAATCCGTTCACCAAATGTTCGGTTGAAACTTACATATTATATGCATACGATATCTAATATGAAACATATTTTTACACAACGTTCTCTAGTCCTAAAACTAAGCAACGCTTACATTATGGATACTATACTTAACTATATTTAAACATACTTATCTTTTGTAAAAAAATACATACTTATCATACATATATAAACACCCAGACACTGGAAAAACACTATGTTCATCACACAATATTTTTCCAGTAGTAGGGATCGAACTCACACTGTCTGGTGCAGGAGTACCTGCCTCCTAACCATTACGCCATTCGGGTCTTCAGTCTTAGCGTATGTGAAATGCTAAGAGGCTATTATTTACCAACAATAAGACTCCATCTTTTGCTACCGACATGCCACTTAGCACGAACATCGGTTACACGCTTTCTAGCCTCCTGAGAAAGGCGACTGGCGTTCTACACAAGAGTACTCGCTCCATATACTAACACTTATCTGAGCCATAAAGTGGGTCAAGCGTGTGCATCTTGCGACAAAACCAAGTCGATAATTCGTAAATTACATGTGGGGTTCATGAATAAGGTTTGTCAGGGTAAGGGTTGCACGGCAGAACGGTGGTCAGCCACGTATCAGTTCCAGTTGCCCGGGAAAGAAGCACGGCCTGACAGAAGGGCGTGAACTGGAATTATTTACGTTTACGTTTCGTCTGATTCTTTGTTACTTCGAACATAGACCTACATAATTTGGTGTTGGCAAAACAACTGCACCTATCACCGGTGGTAGGTTTTGTTGACGTTCAATAAGAGCTTAAGTTAGGCCTATATTGAATAAATATACTTTGACTTTGAACCACTTTATATTCACAATCATTCAGAACGTAATTCACGTTATCTAGTACAAACTTAAGTAAAGCTGGTACTAGCTATATTCGATAATTGATCGATATACTTAAACATATTGCTTTTATAAATGTATACATGTTATAGACACTTTTCATGAGACATTTTTCCAGCAATGGAGATCGAAACAACACCCTCTGGCGAAAGATACACCACGATCCATTACGCCAATCGGGTCGTCAATGTACTAGTAGTATGTTTTATACGCGACTGTGGCTACAATTATCCTTACAGTTTATTTCTCTCGACATGCTTGTCGATGATACACCTGAATTTCATTGCAGAACAAGTTTACTGCCATTTTCCGGTTCGATTCCCGTAATTAGTTGGGCAATGTTGCAATAAGTCTTAGCGAATTTGTAGAGTACATTTTTAGGGTTCCGTTCCCAACGGCTAAAACGGGACCCTATTACTAAGACTCCGCTGTCTGTCCGTCACCAGGCTGTATCTCATGAACCGTGATAGTTAGACAGTTGAAATTTTCACGGATGACGTATTTCCGTGGCCGCTATAAAATCAAATGCTATAACAAAACAAAATGAAAATATTTAACTAGGGCTCCCATACGACAGACATCATTTTTTTGCCGTTTTTTCATTGTTACTCTATGGTTTACATTTTAATGTACTACTAACAAAATGTTTAACTTCCCTGTTGCTACAGACTTCAATTTGGTTTAGTTATTTTTCTATTTATTTTTATTTTTTTACTGCGTCCATGGTATGGTTTAAATACGGGTTAATCTTTTAGTCCTCATACTCATACGTCATGACTTTGACACGAGACAAGACATCACACTTTTTATTCCCGTTTGAGCCAAGCGCATGCCGAACTTGTGTCAACGCTAACTGCTTGTACTTCGTGACGTGGGTTCAACTCCCACTAGGAGTTATACCAGGTTAAATCGAATACCTGTTACGCCTGTTCCTGTTCCTTAAAAGTAACAGTGACAAATACCTGTTACCAAAATAACTGCTTTTACAATATGTTACTCTAATATGGTAATGTCCGTACTTCTCTTTCTAAAAAAGCTATAAGACTGATGCAAGAAAAATAAAGAGCTTGTAATAGTGACAGTGTTCAGTAACTACTGTGTCACTAATTACTTTTTTACTATTTATTGTACTTAAATACTTTGTTTGAAAAATTTTTTTTTTAATTATGGTTTTTGTTTAACGTTAATATTTTTTTTATGATTATTGGCAAGTAGCGATAGACGTGTGCTCATTTATGGTCGCGATGGTAACGAAACGCTGTATATCAGAATGTAAACTTATCCGGGAAAAAATGATCACACAAAACAGCGGTTCGCCTGATGTTAAGTGATAACCGCCGCCGATGGACATTTGCAAGACCCGTAGGATTGCAGGTGCGTTGCCTTATAATAAAGTGAACCCCGGCTACCTCACTCACCAGACGGAATGCAGATAGATACATGTCGGTCTTCCGTGAGTTCGCTGTACTTTCCCGGACGGACCTGCCCATTCTTGCAACAGAGATGACTGCCGCGTGGCCCTAACCACGGTTCTTCTACAGATTTGTTTTACTAGAAAGCAATTTAGAATAGTTTGTGAAATTTATTACTATTATTTTTTTTGTACTTTAAATGTTAAGACGTTACAACTGTTCAATATATTTCCCAATTCCCTATGTGGCGTATTTGTGCAATAAATATTTCTTTCTTCCTTTTCTTTCTATAGATTAATCCACTTACCTTACCTTCTCGCCACACAGCTCGTTACGCGAACGGGCGCGCGTGCGCAAATGAAAACAAAAAAAAAATCAAATGAAACGCATCGTGCCTTTTGAAATACCACTTTATTTGTTTCTCGATCGTTAAGAACAAACAGTACGAAGAACATCGGACATTTGAGCGTAGCTACGAAGCGCCGGCGCTCGAGGCCGGTCCAAATGCATCTCTGGCTCCAATAAATAATTATGTTACAATCTCGGTCCAACATAAACTCAATGGGAAACAAAATAGAGAGGAAAAAAAAAAACATAAGACAATTTCCACGTATAAATGAACACATTCGTCTTTGGATTATACAAAAAAAGAAAAAAAAAAAGCGCCAGAGCACAGATTATGTACAGTACAATATTTTGCTTTCCCTCCTCACTCCGCAATGTGTCCATTTCGAATGTTCTAGAGAAATATATAAACGAATGAAACGCGTGTACAGACTCTTGTATACAATAATATATTAATAAAAACAATAATATTAATAATAGTAATAATATGTATTTCACGAACAAAATTACGAACAATCTCAGATTATTGCCATATGTTTACAGAATGAAGTCATAAACAATATATTAATATATAATCTACAAATTGTGCACAGGATAAAATGAGAGGGCGAATTAAATGAGCAATCAGGGAACAATAACTTCGATACGTTTTAGTTCAAAATTATATTTAATTTCTTTTTGAACGTACCAAACGAAAAGAAGTCTATGGTTCGTGTTCAAAATCACATTTTAAAGCAGGGCTTACTTTATATACGCTATGACTTTATATAGTTTACAACACCTGTATTTTCGTAGTAAATTCATACCTATTGCCTATCGCGAATCAATCAGGTCTAAATTACTAAACTATTGGAGCCCCGCCGGGCCATAAATCCCTCGATCGACGCATCCAAAGTACGATGCACACCAAACGCGATAACCGACGCGAGTCCAATGTGTTAAAAGAGAGAAAGAAAGAAAGAAAGAGATTCATTTGACACAAAACAGAGCGCTTTCTTTGTATAATATTTTATACACTCGACCGCATATCAGAGAACTTCGTGCATATATGAACAAGTTAGGTGCCGTGCGGTCGAAACGCATTTTATCCTAAGGCCGAATTCGCGATGCGCTTGCTTCACGAGACGCCGATGCGTCTCGCGCGGTGTGAATCGCTTCGATCGAAGGGTTTATGGCTCTAACGCCACATTCGGTCTCGCTCGGTGTGAATCGCGACCAAGGAACGTCTAATTGCCAAGAAACGACGCAATTCGGCCGCGATCGGCAACGCTCGAGCCGCGAACGGACGCTTCCCGAGAAACGCGTCCATTCCGCCTAATGTGGCAAGCGCTTGACGTGTCAGTGTCTTAGTAACGCGCGCGAGTCAACTTTTTCGGCTGCGCTCGGAATTAGGCTTCTGTATCGACGTTTCGATTGCGCCTGGCGTGAAATTACTAGAAATGTCCAAGCGATACGAATTGCGCGAAAAATATTGTTTGTAGAACGTTCGGGAAAAAGGGTAAGGAACAGAAAAATCCATTTGGATAATAACGGCGGTTTTTCAAAGTCTACCGAAGCTTGTTCGTTTGAGTACGTACAAAATATCGGGTTAATACGATGGGTGTAGAAATGAATAATTGAAAAGCGATGCGATGTATAAAAAAAACGCTTAGGGGGCTTTAAATGTTTTCAATAATCGGAAGGTACACGAACATGACAATAATAATAATAATAGTTTATATTTTAGACTAAAAGCGAATATTTACAAAGGGCACGCCACTTTCCTAGCTATAAACCTGCCTCCCGACGCCACCTCCGCGGTCTTCCCACGACTCAAACACGCAAACTGCATAAATCGATTTCGTAATTGTAATTAGTTGCGTCACTTCTAGCAGAGATCGTATATCCTATCGCGTGATGAATCGTAGAAAGAGTGCCGCGGAGGCGTCACTGTCATCTCGCACGTGTACCGCCAGCAGTGTCTCAGCTAAAAACGAGACCGTTGGATATATACAACGTTGCCGGTTTCCCGCTACCGCTATATAGCGTATAGCGCAACGGTCGAAATGTCGCCGGTGACCAGCAGTGCACGCGCGGAAACTATCCGTACCTAACCCGTTACATTAGCCAGTCTTTCGTTTACACTACACTAAATGCGGCGCCGCGTCGGCCCTTGCGCGATCCCCGGCCCTCCCCCGACGTGCGCGCGTTTGATAACGTTCACGCGTCTTTTAGTCGCATCGCAAACTCTAAGTGGTACACCGAAATTGCATGTCATCGTTGTTAAAATAGAAACATCCTTCTCCCTGCACTGCAAACGATTTTATGTATTAAGGTGAGGACGACAAAGCTTACAATTGCGTCCAGTGTAAGCCAACCGGTTCAAACTCATCGCTCCATAGTAGCCCAGGCCTATCGCATACATGAACGTAAAACATAACATTTGACTAACATACTAGTCACGATTTAGAGCTGCGGCAGGTATCCCCCCCCCCCCCCCCCATCTACCACCACGGCACTTGTTCGGATTACTTTTTTTATGATCACTGCCACTGTCCCATTGTCCGCAGCTCTAATTATCGTGACCGCCCAGTGACGACGAAAAAAACGCAAACGCCTATTAGAACGCGGGACGGGGGGAGGGCAATCCGTCGTACGATAACCCGAATGATGATAGAGTAACAACATAAATACAACGTAAGGACGGTAAGATGGAAGATGTCGAAAGTAGATTAGAACGGAATTAAAACGTGAAACGTAAAACGCTTTGGCACCTGCTCTGCGTTCTGACACCGATAGTACACGAGCGTGGCCTTTTAAGAGCGGAAAAGAATACGAAAGAAAGTCGAAGAGGCAATTGTGTCTCAACTCGGCACAGCACCAGATCGCTTGAGGGATTAGGAACTAGATGGCGTCGACTGTTTCTCTATACAAGTGGCAAATTTACAAAAACCTTTCTACGTACGTACTAGCACCACTATAGTGTTACGCATAAAACAAATGTCGGGGCGCGAGAAACGGATTTGCTTGTGTGTGATATCTCTTCATAAATGCACGGTATTCTATTTTTGTTCTGTAAGCTTGTGTGTGTTTATGTGTGTGCGAGTGTATTTCTCACAATCAACACACACACAATGATCCAGTTTTATTTTTGTTCTGTAGATCACTATTTAAATACATAACCCTAACAACAATTGACTCGATTCGCCGCGAAACGGGGCGAATTAAAAATGGCCGCTCTGAAAGTGCGAAATAATTAATTTAGTTTGTTGTTTTTTTTGTTCCCGATAAAAAAATACACCGAGAGGAGATTTCGAAACAATATAGGTATGCGACGAACGGTGAACTATCTACACTAAGGCCGTGAGACAATATCAACGCGGGCGCCGTACAAATTTCAACCTTATCGCATATGGTGAGTATGTTCAGTTTTCCGTATACTTACATAACCATATCCATAAAGCTTTAAGAGGAAGCCTCACTATACATATAATTAATTAGTTTAATGGTTTTTTTTAGTTAAATATGTTTTTTTTTTAATATTTTAAATATCGTTCTGTTACATTTACACATTCATACAAACACTAAATAACTAAAGCATTCTCGATGTCCAAACTAAACGCGACGACGACTCCTCTCTCATCTTCCATTAAGTATACTATCGTTAGATATTTACTCATGGTGTCGTTCCATATAAATTCCTTAACGAGAGCGCAACGATACATTCCATACATTATCATACAAAACACAATTGAACAAAAGTCAATCCGTCGCGATTTTCAGATTCATAATCGACTAGCTAATCGTTCGCGCGCACGACTGTAACGGGACACGATAATTAATAATAATGAACAGTAAATTCCGATGAACAGACTATAAGTGAAACCGAGCCTCATATCGAAAGCTAACGGGACCCTCTGGAACCTTCTAGAGCTGTCACTAGAGGAATCGGAAGAGGACACTGAAAATTTCATCACAGCCCAATGATATTTTACACTACAGATTGCTGTTAATACGCCCGGAGTGAAGCCACGTTAATTGGGGAGGCAACAAATAAGTTCAAGACGGGGAAGAGAGAGACGGATGCACTACGAGATTTAAATCCAAAGTGACAAACACTTGCCGTCCTCTTCTTTCTTATTGCTTAAATTACGCTATCCCTTTTGTATATATTCGAACGCGTGCTGTCACTCCGTTTGGAAATAGGAACACTTTCGACCGTCGATTTCGTATGCGGTTTCACATATCTTTACTACAAAATATCATTGTTAATGCCTATACGACATCATCATCTCGTATCTCACTAGCGTTCGGATAAAAATTCACCACGGCAACACCCTCGAATCTCAGTGGGGGTGGATCGGCCACCCCCGCTGTCAAATCGCCAAACTACCCCCACAATAAAACAACGGCCGTAGACATCACATTCCCGTTCGTATGCAAAAATACAACGCTCCGCGACGACGCCGAATCTCTTTCATAAGATAATTTCTCTATATATATATATATATAAATATATGTGTATGTATACATATTTATAATATGAATTAATACCTAAGCAATACACTGTTAAGAGTTTATGACCTAAGTTTAGCTAGAATCCGATAGATCGGAACGAATCGGTCGAGATCGCTCCTATAGACACTACAGTACCTACTGGGCGATGATTGTTACACATCCAACATTGCAAAGAGACGGTCGGTTGATTTCTGCTTGGTAGACCGCTATCTCTGTCGCACTGACAATCGTCGCGTAGGGTAGAGTGCGAGAGAGATAACGAATTACGAAAATGAAACTACTCGATTGTCCCTTTCCATAGGTCGATGTTCAAGATTCATCGTCCAGTAATATACGGTATACGGGTTAATATCAAAGCGTCGTTATTTGATACAGTTAGTTAACTACGCACTCCTCGATTTGGAAGCTTTTGGTGAATGATTTGCGGGTACGAATCCCGGGTTTTAGCTAATTTGGCTTAGTCAGTGTTGACTGTAGCCTCGCTTGTCCTTGCCAAAGTAAATTGACAATCGATATCGTATCTCTCTCCATTTTCAATTTTTTAAACCTTCAGTTCAAATTTGACGTTCTGGATTTGCATAAATATCACAAAACAGGTTTTGTGATATTTATTGTTGTTATTATATTATATATTATTGTTTATATGACGTCATCCGATTTTGATCAGTTATAGAAGAAAGATCGACAATTGGAGAGGCGTTTGAGAAGTTTTTCGATTGACTTTAGATAATCGGTGTTTGTAAATTTTACACTATGTAAACAATTTAAACTCTAGGGAACAACCTCAATGTCACTAAAGCATTAACATTATTAGTTGTTTCCGATTCGTATAAAGCGGTGTACATTTGTTTATTAGGAAAATTTTCAAATCTCGCGAATGAAGTAAGTTTAACGAATCCTAGCAAGGCATTTCGACGAATGGAAACGAAAACTAGATGTATTTCCTTTGATCTGTATTCATAATTTTAATTAAATTTGGGCTATACACAAATATATACTAGTTTGCATAGAACGCGAGGAATTGTCGGTCGCCCGGCAGCCGCCGTGAGGCCCGTGCCGGGGCGTGCCTCAGGGCGCCGTCACAGTACCTCTGTTCCACAACAGCGGCCAACTGATGCTACGTACAATTATTCTAGACGTTTGAACGCTAACGATTACAACAATCTGATATAACAGTTACACTCACAAAACGTTCTACTCTAGCCGCAGTTCCGTCGAGTGTTCGTTCGGGCCGATGGCGGCGGGGGGCGGCCGGGGGCGGTGCGGGGGCGGTGCGGGGGCGGCGGGGGCGCGCGGGCCGCACTAGCTGGGCAGGTGCGGCGCCAGCGAGGGCGGCGGGGGCGCGTGCGCGAGCCCGCACTGGCCGAAGCTGCCGCGCAGCGAGTCCTCGATGAGCCGGCACAGCTTGTCGCGGTCGGCCTGCGGGCAATAGAGTGCGAGCGCGTCACTAGTGGCGCCCCGGGCGGTGCGTCCGCGGCGGGGGCGCGCCTCACCTCGTGGATGAAGCCGAGCTGCACCAGGTCGCGGGCCAGCGCGGGCGCCGAGTCCTGCCTGGACACGGCGCAGGTGAGCTGGCGGTTCATCTTGTCGTCCATGCGCAGCAGGATGGTCATGAGCGGGTCGCGCGCCGTGGCCTTGAGCGAGCACATCATGTTGACGACGCGCCGCGTCTCCAGGTCGCGCGGCTCGGGCGAGGCGGGCGCGCTCTCGGCCGGCGAGCTGGGCGACGCCGCGCGCCCGCCGCGCACGCAGTACGCCGTCAGCGGGTAGATGCCGTACCTGAGCACCGCCGCCTCGTCACCTCGTCACCTCATCACCTCGCCACCTCGCCACCGGCCCGAGCTACGCTCGCCTAGCGGCGATGTCATCGGCACGCCACCAGACCCGAGCATCTTAAGCTTTTTTACATGTGAAAAGTTGCCAAACCAGCAGACGGTTCACCTGATGGCGAGTGAATACCGGTGCCCATGGACATCTGCTACACCCGAGGGTTAAAGATGCGTTGAATCCCTTTTGAAAATTGGGCTCCGGCTACCTCACACACCAGAAAAAACGCGAAAGTATTTGTCATACTTTCACTTTACGCTGGTTTCTGTGAGGTCGTGGTACTTTCCCGGACAGGCCTGCCCATTCGTGCAACAGCCTAGACTGCTGCGCGGCCCTACCACCATAGTACTACTAGGCAGCTCATTATCTACATTGCTGCCGGCAATCTTATGCAAGTCACCAAGTAACGTCCTTCGTCCACTCATCCATCGATTGCAGCAAAAGTTGTCGTACTCCATTGACTAACGAATGACCCTCATTGGTAGTCAAATACCACGTATTCTTAGAATCCCCTGCCCTGATGCTGCCATGACTTCTACCGTAACCTTAAACTACATGACCATCGGAGACCAAGAGCTACATATTTCGTGTTTTAATCATAGGATTTTCATTTTCCTGTAACCGCCACGCCTGGCGAACGAGTTGGTAACTGCACTTTCTATGAGAGAATCTATGGGAGGCCACTAGCTGTTTGGAACGTATCGCTCAGTCGCCTCTTACGACACCTGCGGGGCGAGACAGGGTGGCTAATTGTCACACCGGTACCTAACGGCTCACCGATCGCCAAAAGCCACTCACTTGACGTCCTCGACGAACTTCTCCAGCTTCTCAGCGTGCGGCTGCAGCTCCTTGGCGGTGAACTCGCACCTCTGGCCGCCGCGCACGCACCACGCCCCGCCCCCTCCCCCGCCGCACACCTCGTCCGTTATCGTCTCCGAGATGTTCGCTGAGGGCGGTGGGGTAGCGCTTAATGACGTCACCGTGGACCGAATCGAAGGATGTCAAGAAACCTATCCGCCTTCCGATACGAAGGCGTCATTTTCATTATAAATGATATGGTTGAGGAAAACGAAAACCTAATCAAAGTGAAAAAAACAATCCATGTTCTTAATTGAGGAAAGTAAAGCGGTTAGATCTCATTGCGAAGACAAGATTCTACAAGTTTCTTGTCGATGTTAAATTACAAAAGGCAACATTCACCGTGTTTAGCAGCTAGGAAGCCACTTTTAGCATGAGTACTGATCAAGATATTGAAAGAAAAAAAACCTTATCAATTAAGGTAAAATTTAAACATATTACGTTAAAGAATGGTTATCAGTTAATAGAGAGTCGGACAACGCAATACAAAATCAAGTGAATATAGTTACACTCACAACACAAACGAAAGTGTTATCTATCGGTATACAATTGCGGCCATGTCCACTTACTTCGGTTATTCATAGAGAAACCGCCGGCAGAATTGAATAATGCAATAGAAATCTCACCTGTGGTGTTGACGAGCGTGTGCGCTGCCAGCAGCTTCAGCGAGTGGACCTCGAAGAGCAGCGGATGGAAGAGGAGCTCCCTGGCGGTGGGCCTCTTCGCGGGATCCTTGTTTATACACCTGGAACCACGGATTGGGTGGATGTGAGCATCACCGCTCTCGATTGTCGGGCGGGCACAGCGTTGTAGTGACGTTGAAACGACTTACCGGTGGCGTAACGCAAAGCTAAATGGCCGACGGGGGGAGAAGGGGTGGTCGGTGGCCGCTTTGTGCCCCTTCTACCCCCGTCAGCAGCCCGTTGCACCAGCGCGGTGGTGACCTGAAATGTACCTGTATATGAAGTCCTTCTGCCTCGGCTCTTCCAACGATTCGACCGTCCTTACGATGTGTTCCTCAGTTACGTGGCTGCCCGAGTCACCGTTGCCCTGAATCTCAAGAGCTGCGGTCTCCAGCGCGCACATTCCGAATGAGTAGATATCCATTGCGGGCGTCACCATTTGCGATGCTGATACGGGGGGAAATAAAGTTGCAATAAATACGAGTCACTACTTAGTTTCGCCTGCTGAAAATCCTTGGCGCGCACCGATCGCTTCCCCACAAAAGGAAACGAAACAACGTGCAAAAAACAAACTGCGATGTCTACGCTTGAACATAATTTAACAAACTAAATCAAAGGTAAGGATAAATAAACCAAGAGTTAGGAGTCGAGTCGGGCTTAACGGACGCAAAGGTGGCAGAAGCGATTATTTCGGCAAGGATCTGAGCAAGGGAAACTGTGTGTTCGTTTCCTGTTACGTAGAGCGAACCTCGATCGACTTACATCCGTATTCGGGTGCAATGAGGTGCATGTTCCTCATGTTCTCGCGGCAGGTCTTGACGTGGTGGTGGATGGCGTCCGGCGCCACGGAGCCGATCTTGACGAGGCCGTTGTGCTGGATGAAGATCGTGTCGCAGGTGAGGTTGCCGTGGACGATGGGCGGCACGCAGCCGTGGAGGTAGCTGCCGAATTGCAAATAGACTTGTCAATTTTTCCACAATGACACAACAAACTTGAGCGTGCCGTGTCCAATGAGATTCAAATCGCTGTGACAATTCCATGCGTGATGGGAAACATTGTAATAGATTGTTAAATTGAATTGCTCGTAAAAAGTATCTATGATCAAAACGGTACCTAAACATTAATAATAATATCGATCGGCAGTTGAATATATGCATACTTGTACGTTTTAATCAATTTATTAATTTGGTTTCTGAATGGGTCAATTTAATAATTGATTAAGGTGCGTTATTCACCTGAGGGCTGACAAAATTTGCGTGCACCATCTTTTCCACGCCTGCAGGGGTAACCGTTTCACGTTTCTTTTGGTTCGTTTCAGGAACTGCTTTAGTGATCCGCATGACATGTATTCCGTTATGAAGATTACCTGAAAAAAAAAGTAGTGTTTCTACTGAATTCACATTATTTGAAAACCATTCATGTTTTTTTAGTATTTTTAGTTGGCTTTTAGTACTTGTGGTATTTACGTGTTCACCGTGTTACTGTTTTTTAATTTGTGATCCAATTTGCCCAGTTATAAAATATTGACCCTCATAAATATTGTATAATAGTATTACTTTGTTTTCCCATTAATTTTATCGATGACACTTGATGATAACACTTGTTTTTTTTTAAGGTACTTTATTAAACAAAGATAAATGTCACTGGTTGAATATTTAAACCAGGGAGCAAAGAGACTTTCGCCTTATTTTTTTCCTGATAATACAAAAGACCATTACGGTTCTAAAACCTGTCATAAATAATCCTAAGAAACTAATCTACAATGATGGTGTTTAATGTCAAGGCAAATACGACAAAAGCAAATTGGATGATTGAAGATATTTAAGCTAAAGTATGACACCATGTGCCTTTTTTTTAATTTACGTTGAATAATAATCATAATATTTTTTCTGTGCAACAGTTTATCGGCCTAGTTCGGGGTCTTCAAAAACACTTGCATCTATCTCGCAAAGAACGCATTTTGAATTATAATAAGACCTATCAGATGTTGGGGTTGGTAAATCAGATCATTAGACCGTCTATGTATGTGACGAATGCCATAAGATTTTAGGACACACTTTTACACAACGTTCTCTAGTCCCAAACTAAGCAATTCTTGCACTATGGGTACTGATAAACATAATTAAACATACTTTTCTTTTGTAAATAAATACAGACACTAGAAAAACACTATGTTCATCACACAATATCTTTCCAGTAGTGGGGATCGAAGCCACACCCTCCGACGCGGGAGGCTGGTACGCTACCCACTACGCCCTTCGGATCGTCGGTCATAAGACGAATGAGATCGACGCTCACCCTCGGTTTGTCGTTGTGCGTGTCCGTCCAGTACCGGTGGAACTTGACGATGTTCGGGTGCTCGAGCCTGGTGAGGTTGTCGAACACCATCTGGATCTTGTCCTCCTGCGCCTTGAAGTTCTTGCGCTCGGAGAACTGCACCTCGTTCCACACCACCTCCACGCCCTCCTCGGTGTCCATGGCGAGATGCGCGCAGTCGATACCGGGCACGTCTCGCTGCTCCACCTGCGAAACAAAAAGCTCACCTTTTAGACCACCATCAATAAATATTGTATAGTAGGTAAAAGTATAGTAGGTTTTGAAGATCAATAAGAGCTTAAGTTAAGCCTGTATTGAAAAAATAAAATAAAGCTAAAATTAACAATCGTAATATAAGTGCGGTAGCCCGGATTAAGACTTTAGGACTTATAACGTAAGGACTGGATCAGGATACTGTAAAGTATTTGAGAGGTCGGGGATTGGAATTTTAACTAAATGCGATAAGATGTAGTACTTTCGTCGTTTAATAATATTTACCGGGAAATAAATACGCTTCTCAGGGGTACCTTCAAATTGCAATGATAAATTCTTTGATACAAGAAGAATGGAAAAAAAAGAACAACATTTGTCTCAATTACTACTCTTTTTTATAATAAAAACCGATTACTCGTTAACAACATACGTAGATTAACATTACAAAACATGCCTTTGAAGTTTTGTGATAACTATAAATTATTTTTCATTATAAATAATATCTAATATAAAGACCATTCTTTTGAAGAGTTTGAAGCGTATATAAATCATTTGATAATAATACCACTTAAAAAATCTCATGAAAGTAAAGTTTTCTTTAGCGAATTTCAAACAAACTGTGAGTAAAGATCATACGTCGGCATAATATAAGTAATTGATTTATTCGAAGCCAATGCTGGAAGTTTCCAATAATAATGTTGAGAACTTTGCTAGCAGCAAACGAAAATATTCGACAGGATCACATATAATACTTAAATAAATTGATTAATCAATCATTGGCAGAATCCTCACATCCAATGAAAGTCAAACGCGATAATTTTTATAGGTTAATCATCGGTCATGTCAACGCATCTGCAACCCCTCGAGTGTTGTAGATATCCACGAAAGACGGTAATCACTTAACAGCAGGTGAACCGGCTGCTCGTTTGACAACTTTTCACATTGAAAAAAAATCTCAAAAAGTTTTAGCGTGGCCCTACCGCATCAAAATTTTACTACCGTAATACGGTGATAAAATAATATATTTATATATGCGCAATGGATTTACCATGAGCCGCACACAATGGACGACCTTTCGACCTTCAACTTTGCGACCGCGAGCAATCACCGAAAATTGGCGATAAGCGGTAAAAATTGTCCCATTCTTCCCGGGGGCAATCATTCAATTGGAACCCTCACTGCGCATTTAGTACGCCGTGATCGTGCGGGACGACAGGAACTGTATGAAATGAAATTACCGAAGAACATTCGAGATATCTCGAAAATAGTGTTCATGAGTAAAGGAATCAATTTTTTTTTAAAACATTGCCCTCACTTTAGGATAACATTATTATCTTGTGTCGCAAGGGCGTTTTACAAACATAAATCTCAAGTGGACAAGTACCCAGATGCGAAACAACTATCTGTTGGTCGCACAAGTAGTTGTCCCGTGTGGGAATCGAACCCACGATCCCCGACACCGAGGTCAATACCGCGGCAACTGCGCTAAGGTGTCGTCATGAGTTCAATGTTTTCTACTGATAAATTCATTAGAAAGTTTTTTGCATGCACTTTTTGTGGTGCAGCAATATTATTTTATGCAAACGCCAATTTTAAACAATTTTATTTATATATGGAAATGACTCAACAAGTATGTATAATAAGAACATTTTAAATACATTTCCAGCTTACACAGTAACCGAAATAAACCTTTCAGTATAAAATATTTCATTTAGTTACTCATGAGGTCAAACCATATGTTCCTCCGTTCAGTACAAAGCGGCCCTGTCCAAATATAGCCAACGATATGGCTATCTCTTTGACATGTACTCTCCGATCTCTCGGGATCGTTTAGGGTTGTCGGCGCACTTAATTTACAACTTAACATCGTGTTTACAAGTTACATAAATAAACACTATTGACGCACACCGCAGGTCTATGAAATGAATTGGCTGTTTTATTTTTGTTTCTATTATGATGACGGAGTTGTTTCAGCTTATGTATATGCATAAATATTTGCACTAACGATACCAGGCTGACAACCTATCTATTAGAGGAGATTAGGATATTATATTCTCAAAATGTTGACAATTAGTTGTGAAATTTTTTTCTCTAGACCATAGAAATAATTTTTAACAGGGGCCAGTAACCGAAATCTATTAAGTTGAATTCAAAACTAAGTAAGCAAAATTGTATACCTAATTAATACTCACTCAAATGTGTATGGTATAATACCTAGTTTTCAGGCTAACCTCAGTAGATCGAGGATACAAACTTGAGTTTGTTACAATATTACCACGATGTATACAGACAGATATTAACCGGAAATTCGGCCTCGATACCATTAAATCGAGATGCCATTTATTTAGCTGCAGTGGACTTGTCTACGGGCGCATTGCAAAATAAGGCAGACAACAGACGAGGTATGCAAAATAAGGCAGACAACAACACGAGGCATGCAAACGAGTCTTCGTAGCTCGTGGCTATGTCTATCAGTCGCTTGGGGAACGCAGGCGGGAATCCAATTGCGGCCCGATTGGAGACTCGGCTAGAGCGAGGCCGCTGGCAATTGTGCCTTAATCAACCGACCTCAAAATAGAAGGAGTTTCTCAATTCGACTGTATTTTTTTTTATGTTTGTTACCTCTGAACTTTCGACCGAGTGAGCCGATTTTGAAGATTCTCTTTTTATTTGAAACCTGGTGCTTCCCATATGGTCCCATATTCATTTAATTGGTATTGGATCCTAGGATCGAGAGATACGTAGGGAACTTAAACGATTATAAAATGAATACGATTATATAATGATATTTGAAGTCGGTTTTGTTTTTCGTTATAATGATAAAAAAATCAATTAAAAAAAGTGTTAAACACTCTTATCGATGCTCGCATTGAAGTCGGGAGCATTGGCGAGTGTATGAGCTGTCATATTTGAATAATGCGATGAATTCGGAACTAGGCTATGTTACTCTGTAAAACATACGAAATATAAATGTATCAAAAAGTGCATCATTTTATTAACGAAAAACAAAACCAACTCCAAATATCTTTCTCTGTATTCATTTTATAATTGATTTTCAGGAGTTCCCTAAGGTATCTACGGAGCCCAAGATTCAATACCAACGACATTAATATGGGACTAGCTTTAAAATTAAAAAAAGAATCATCAAAATCGGTTCACTCACTCGAAAGTTCAGAAGTAAAAAACGCAAAAGAAAAAAAAACATTCGAATTGACAACCTCAACCTTTTTCGAATTCGGTCGAAAACTTCCCCTCCCGTTCGGACACGGAGAGCGGCAGCCCCGGGGATGTACCGGTTTCCAGATACGTCGCCGTCCAATTGGAATCCTCGTTTTTTCTTCTCCTTCATCGCATCGCCGGCGCATATCATTGCGTACGTACAAATGTGTAACGCGACCTTATAAGCGAAGACCTACGCATATCAATTACAACAACTGAACACATCGCAAGGGCAGATACACAAATGTGTAAATACATAGGCGCCGATAGACAATTAAATTGCGATGGCGTCGGATTAGCATTAGAGTAAGGAGTGAGCGAAAGGAATGAAGCGCTCCGACGACTGTAGGCTTGTTTGCAGCGAAGTGAAGTCAAGAGTCGTTTTAAAATTCCCGCACAGCGCGCCTCTGCCACATCGCACTGTGCTGTTAGATAGAGCTGGTAAAATTAGCCGGGCGCCGACGGGTGCGATAAATAGTTGAGCATTCGTTGGTGCAAGTAGCGATAGAGACGAGTGGGGTTGCTCTCAGGAAATGTTGCATATAACGCCTGTTGTTTATGGATTTCGAGGATTGGATACGTCCCGTTTATATCGGAACAGCTGTAGGCTGGTTCCGCGGTGACAGCCGCGTTGATGATATGCTAGCAAGTGTATGGACATCGCTATTCGTTTCAACTAAGGATCCTTTGAGGACACGAATTGACAGCCGCGTTGGTAGATATAGTAACGGGTGTATAAACATCGCTATTCGTCTAAAATAAGGATCCTTTGAGGACACGAATGATACATATGCAATCAAATATCATTAAAGCCGAATACGTACACAGAATATGAGTAATTTAATACTTAAGATATCCTGATATCAAAACTACCATATTTCAAATCGCTTTTAATAACAATATTAAATCCTTCGAGTTATTGCTGTAAACAATAGTCAATTTCGTTATGTTACATTCCGATAAAGTTTCAACGATCGTTTGCAACATTTTCAGCGGAGATAGTTCGAAACTTGTTGTTCTTGGTCCGCGTCCAGCTTATCGTCAGTGGGCTTTGTTGGTCTATAAATAGCCTCGGCTTATTGGACGCGCACAACGGGCCCCCTCATAGTGATTTCCGAACGCATTACAAAGAACATTATGTGTGCAATTATGTCCTGTACTGTTTGGTGGATGCGTCCGTTTCTATTTATATTGTTATCTTACTATCAAACGTATATATACAAACATGTAGATAATTATAAAACGAGATCTTATGGTCGTCACATACGCCTAGTAGGTACAAAAATGATTGGTTTAAAGTTAAAAAAAGTATTTAAATTAACAATGCTATTTATATTGATATAATGTCAAGTTAAATAAAAAAGTTAATTATTTACCATCGTTCACATTATTGTTTTCTATTGTGAACATCGGAATAATATTCTATTTTAGCGGAGGGGACGAATAAATTATTGATTTAACATGTGCAATTGTACAAATAGCCAATAATTACAAGGTTATGTATTAAAAATAACTTTAATACTTTATTAATTTAACTTTATAATGCTTAGATAAATCTAAGAATTATGACAATTTATATTATGTCAATGAAATAATCACTTTCTCGCAATATCGTTCAATTTGGTATGGTAGGGAAGGTATTGTCGGTGGTAGGGAAACGCAACACTGTTGCACAAATGGGCAGGTCCGTCCGGCTAAGTACCACGACCTCACAGAAGACCGGGAAAAAGTAGAAGTGTTACACTTCTGCGTTTCGTCTAGTGAGTGAGGTAGCCGGGGTCCACTTTATTTAAAGGTGGCAACGCATTTGCAACCCTACGGGTGTTGCAAATATACATTGGCGGCGGTTATCACTTAACATCAGGTGAACCGCCAGTTCGTTTGCCACTTTCTCACATAAAAAAAATAGTTGAATATCTTTAATACTTCAATTAATTTGCGGAGTGGCTATCGCTATTTATGTTGGCGACATTTAATGGGCTGTTATTTGATTATCAACAATGGGTTCAAAAGTTGCAATTAATGAAAGTATGGATCATTAAGATTCATTTCCATTTTCCAGTTAATTAATTGTTTTTATTACTAGAGATATTAGTTGTATTGTTTCAAGATATCTTGACCAATTTGTGGTAAAACAAGTGCACCTTACAAAAATTACATCCTTAATAGATCAACCGTTTTATTAAAAAAAAAAAAAAAAAAAAAAAACAAAGCAAGAGGTCGAAACAGCTGGTAGAAGCTGGTATATCAACTTAAAGCATAAAGAGTTGATAAAATCCATTTTCAAGAGAGCAAACATTTCAAACCCAGAGCCACTACACAGAGAATATTTTATTTGCCTCTACACTTCCGATCGGAAATCATTTCGTAAATAAAATGACCCGTTTGATTTGTATCTGCGAAAACTAGGAAATATGAGATTCATTTCTGCATCGTATTTCGTTTAACCTTGATGAACAGTGTAAAGCGTAGCGTATTATGTAGTGTGTGTGTAATATATAAAATTAATCTACTTAAAATTACTTTCTATCTTAAGTCCAAGTTTACTCTTAAGACCAGAGAGTAATGTGTAGATTTATAGTCATTATAAAACTATTAATTTAACGACACTTCGACTTCAATCAAGAACGTAAAAATTCACATTTCCGTAATCAAAATGAGGATAATATTCAGTCATAGATTTCGCCTTGGCACTGATCAACTCTATACAATGTCAAGTGTATATAATTCTTCAAAGTCCCAGTGGACTATCCACTATATTTAATCGCTGCTTCATAAACAAATATTAGTCAGTATTATAAATGTTTGTTTATAAATTCGATGAGACGGAGAGGAGAGTAAAGTAAAACGGTGGATGGGAAGTGTATGCTTCACGTATTTAACAAAGTAGGCATGTCCTCCCATCAAAACTTAAAGTTATCTATGATTTATGAAAGCAGAAGTTCATCAAAGAATTTATGATTTTCGCCTCTCGTCGACCTTGTTATTAATTTTTTGGGGTGATCGTGCAATTATCTGAGCAGAGGAGACATAGTGAAAGGAAGATGATATTGTAAAGTAGGTAGTGATTAAATTGATTGAGTTTCAAATTACTACAACCTTCGACACTCAGTTTATTTTGCTACGCAAGTATACGTAAGTAGTAAGAGATCTTTGTAGCATATTGTACGTCCGTAAAATGTATGCGTCAAAGCAAAGCATAATAAATAACTTCAGTCGTATATCACTCTCGATAACTCCGTTGTAATCTATTCATGTTTTATTTATGGCTCCCTCGGTTTATCCTTGTAATTCATAATTCACGTAAACGAAAGTAGATCAGCGATATTAAATGCAACAGCCGTGAGTGCGGCATGAAATTTTTATCAAGCACAATATTTTTTGGGTTCTTTGCCTCTTGCGCAAATATCTTAAGCTTTTACATAGAATATTAAACTGTCTGTGGTTTATTCACAGTTAAACTTCCATCTGATACTTTCTCGAATAAACATTCGAGACGAAATAACCCCCCTAAAAAAGAAGTAAAGTAACAGCCTATCAATGTCCCACTAATGGGCAAAGGCCTACTGTACAGAGGGTATCATGCCATAGTCCACCACGCGGCCCCACTGCGGATTGGCGGACTTCACACATATTTTCGGAATATTTCGAAAATACGCAGGTTTCCTCACGATATTTTTCTTCACCGCCGAGCACGTGATATTCAGCACTTAAAACTAACAACTTCATTGGTGCTGGCACCGGGGATCGAACTCAGGTGGCTCGAGTAAATGTAATTAAAGGCGAGCGTCCGGACACTGAGCTTTAACGGCTCTTATAACCCCAACAACTGCTGTAAATTCTAAAATATATCGACCATGATTGCGCACACAAAGAAATATAACATATTCACAGACAAAAAATTTTATCATTTTTGTAATAATATGTTTACAAAGCTCTAAAAGATATTCATTCAGTCAGATGTTAAAAAATTGGACATAATTGAATTGCAGAATTCGACTTAATTCACAAAAGTAATCCCGCACATAATACGTTATGCTAATAGGCAGTGAGGTTAGACGAAAATGTGGTAGTGCCACGCAAGTCTTCTCTGTTGCACGAATGGGCAGGTCCGTCCAGAGAAGTACCACGATCGCATAAAAGATCAGCTCACGCTAAACTGGAAGTGTTATTCCGTCTGGTGAGTGAGGTAACTGGAGCCCGCTTTATGAAAAAGTGGCAACGCATCTGCAGCCCTACGAATGGATGCTGCAAATGTCCACGGCAGCCGTTATTTCTTAAAATCATGTGAATCGCAAGCTTGCATTCCATCTTTTCGAATAAAAAAAACCTTAAAGTTTTTCTGTTATTTTACAATGCATAGTATTCGTAAATACAAGAAGTCAATAATGGCAGCGTGTTCAAAAAGAAAGGCAGTTATAGTGTGGCGGTGAGCTTTTTCTTCATCAGAGGGTTTTCCGTATCATCTTACGCTTTACATTTAAAATATCTCAGCCCCACCAGTGTGAGAGCTGCAGGGCCAGATTTAGAGCGCGAAAAAAAGTATGAAAGGAAAAGTTGTTTACTACTCTGAATTTGAATATTTTTTCCGAAGTCTCTATTGTGGGGGCACCTCATCTGTGGAGACCCAGACCCAGGAGCTGTTGCCCCGGTTGCCCTCCCCTAAATTCGGCCCTGGACAGTTGCAAGGTGGATAGGTTCGGCACGACACGACACAATAAGCTCTACCTCTTAGGACCAAAAGAAACTCGTTACATACTAAAAGTGGTAACAAAACCGCCGTGCTTCTGCTCCGAGCTAAATTTATCTACAGAGTAAGGGTTAAAAAAACCGGCCAACTGCGAGTCGGACTCGCGCACAAAGGGTTCCGTACCGTTATCTATAAAACGGCACTAAAAAATCATGTACCTATTTAGATATTTTTTTATTCTGTTTTATAGTATTTGTTGTTGGCAACAGAAATACATCATCTGTGAAAATTCCAACTGTCTAACCATCACGGCTCATTAGATACAGCCTAGTGAGAGACAGACAGACATCGGAATTTTAGTAATAGAGTGCCGTTTTACCCTCTTGGTACGGAACCCTAGAAACGCAAGAACTGTGCGTTTACACAGAAAGAAACCAGTTCGGAGGTGGCATTCAGCGCCTACGATGAGTCCGAGCGACCTCGCCGCTCCATTGGGCAGGTTGCGAGGGCACCGGAGCCAAGATCGGTGAACTTCACGCTAACTCACTGGAGCCGGCTGTTCGCCTGTGGATTATACACGAAGGGCGCGCCGAGGCGCTGGTCGGCCGCTCCTTAATGGCGCGTAATAACACGTTCCGAGATCCGCATAGGGAGAGTCCGCTCGAGTCGCCATATTTAGCGAGCGATAAACCATTGGCGTTTAAAACTGTGCCGCCAGTCCGTACTGAGCAATAGCGTACGTACAATATTGAAGTGGGTAAAGAGTGAAAATAAAAGTTGTCCATTCCTTCAGGACATCATTCCGAGGTTATAAATCCGACAGAATGCATGTGAAAAATGGATTGAAGATTCTTGTTGGCGCTGGCAACACTGCATACCGGATATGACATTATCTAGTCGAGCCAAGGGACACATGGTCGCAGGGAGCAGTGTTCACTTGGATTTCGGCTGCGTTCCCGGACAGTGATATAACCACTAGTGCTACTTGTCGTTATAATAGTTGTTAATATTCAAGTTCAGTAATAGTTAAAATATTAGAATCAAGGTAAAAACGTTAGAACTTTTATATTCTTTAATAAGATTTTTTTAAATAAAATATAATAGAATATAGCCATTGACTGCTTAATTGCGGTACGGTGAATTGACTGCTCAGTTGTAGCCCAACGTTTCAAACGCTCTATCGTAACTCGGTTCTTTGCGCGCGCACCGTTGGACTATAGACCAGCGGTACGAGCGCTCATTTAAAGCCCGTTGCTTCGATCGCTTTATTGTAGTCAGGGTTCGACCGCTTATGATTACTCCGGCGGTTCAACCGCTCAATTTCAACTCTATGAATCAACTGCTCAAATATAGATGGCTCAGCAGATCTACGATCACTGGCGGTGTGATGCATAGAACGTGCTCCAAATGAAAGTGGTCCGGGCACGCGATCCAATTTGAACACGATAAGCGCAGCAATTTCTAATCGGGAATTCGCTATTAATAATGGCTACTCGCTTTACTCTAGATTTGTGAGAGCGTAGATATAGACAGGACACTATAGAGATTGTTTGTTTAAATAGACCCAACATATTTTTTTCCTTTATTTAAATTGCAATACTCAGCTGACTATCGGAATGTCACCGTGGTAACTCCGTCACATTATCAAAAGTAAACCGCAGATATGCACTGACCTACTGTAGCAATTGAATGGCGTAACGAAACAACGGCACTCAGCCTGTAGGTACACTCCCTGTATTATATATAATTCGATAACAATGGCTGATAACGTGTGTACGTCACAGTTTTATGTAATTCGCTTGACGCGTTTGTACACCGTATCGCCATGGAAACCATTGCGATATGACGCGTTTACGAGAGACTGTGCCATTATTGTATGCCATTAATAACTCACAAGATAATGTAGTCAAAGGTAAAACAGTGAGGTAACAGAAAATGGCAAAGATCTGTCTATACATGGTAAAGTAAGGCGGTCCGCAACGTGGCTCTAGTGCTTTTCGACGCACTGTACATATATATTTTTAGATACGCATATCTTTCTCATCATCGAGCGTGCACGTAAACGAACTCGCATTTTCAGCAGCACATTGACAGCGTCCTAAGTAAAAAATGTGTAAAGAAAGTGTACAAGCTTTTGTTTTAAAGAGTTTTTGAATCGGGGAAAAGTTCGCACGGGTGATTAATGTCGCCTCACATAGCCCATAACAGTGCGGCTGACCGGATGTTCGGTGATTACGGCCACACAGGGATAACTACAATACCTTAGTTATTGCAAAAGCGTTGGCAACCTTTAAAGTAGTGGGCACTGATTACTTCACTCATCAGACGAAAGGCGAAAGTATAATACTTCCACAGGTCTTGAGGCCGTGGATCAGTGTAACAGCAGGTGCTGCGTGTTCCTACCACAGGAGTAGACTTATTAAGATATCATCTGAACGTATATAGACGCTACACGCATAGTACATTTTGATGTCGTCTGCTAACGGGGAACGTCATTGCTATCACAAATAGGCAAATGTAACCCGGAGTCAGGTTAGCCCACACCGCGGGACATAAGCCCACGCATGGGCTTTATCTCGCCACCGCAAGGGTTCGTTCACATGCCGTGTGCGGGTCACGAATGGGCATAGTATAGGGCTGGCAATAATAATGTTATTAATTCGCCACGATATTCTAACGAGATTTCTACATCACAATTCGAAAAAGTTATTATTTAAAAAGCTATTTAAAAGTAAATTAACATTTTAAATTTCATCTTGAGTGCAGAGAATAGCGCATCAATATTTACCCTAAATATACAGAGGCCACATCTTCCGTTAAAAATGTGGTTTGTGGTTCCATACTGTTAAGTTTGCACATTAGATGGCGTCAAGCTTTGCTAATAATGCAATAAAGAAGTGTGATGTCATAAGCCGCTTAGCTTAATTGGTATCATCGGATAATTATAATACTTAGGCTTATTAATGACGGTGTGTAGATCAGCAAATCTGTATACATACCTACAGATAAATATAACTAGAATGTCTCTTTGTAATATTGACATAAATGCTTTTTAATAAATGCATATTCACGTTTACCACTAAAATAATTTTTTTAACAATTTTTTTCTGTCTGCCTGTTTGTTCCGGCTAGTCTGAAACGACTGGAGCGATTTTGACGGGACTTTCACTGACTGTAATTAGGAGCAACTTAAGGTACCGTACTTTTATTTTAAAAATTTTATTTATTTTAATTAGCACGCGGACGAAGTCTCGGGCACAGCTAGTATGGAAATAAGAGCGGGGAAAAAACATGAATTGGAACTAAGAACTATTTACGAACAGATTCCAAATTAAATTTTACCGGAGGATCATAGCGGCCTCCGCACTTCTAATCTCTGTCCGACATATCTCTTTCTCTCCTATAGCATATAGCCGTTTTGACGTACATTTTAATCTTAAACTTCTACCGAGAGTCCCATGTCGACGAACAGCAAATATGTTGTCAATATCATATGAACTTTAATCGCTGTTAATATGTTATTAAAGGTATAGTAGTAATAGTATAGTAGATATATTGTAATGGAATTTTATTTTAAGGATTTGGTCGCTTTGAGGGCAAATGATGCCATTTTCCTTCAACGTGGACTTCAAAGGCGGAACAGAATTATTGAAATTATTCCCTTTGGATTAAAAGATCCTTTGTGAATTAAGATACGATTTTAATATTATTATACAGATAAAAATTTTGCTGTTCCAGAGTTAAGACTCTTTACAGAAGAATGCGTCCACATCTGGTTTCCTTTTCTTTGTTTGAAATGAAATTGTCGGCTGAGCATTTTTCAATGGCTTTCGAAAAGTTGTATGGAGGTAATTCGTAACCAATCAGTTATTTACTACTTCATCATAAGAATTGTGAAAAAAGAAAAACTCTTGTAAGTGGCAAACAAAAAGTAGTTTGTCAGCGTCATTATAGAAATTATTTTATTGGCTGTAATAGGAAACGAAGAGACAATGAAATGATGATAAAAATATATAGATAACTTAACGACATACAATGCATGTACATACAACGTTGTTTACATGAAATACGAATAAACATAAATAATAACAACGCGCTGAAGGAATACCCGTGTGAGCATCGTAAATATATGAGGATGAAATTGAAACTGTCAGCATATCATTTCCTCCAGACTCTACTAAGCTTATTAGATTTGCATCTACTTTCCATTTTTATTTTTATTTCGCCCTTCCATTTATACGCAATGAGAATGAAGTTTCTTTGTAATTAACGTAAGTGTCTTCAAAGTCTAATGAGTCTATCGTAATCGAGTTAGATTGCTTTAAACGCAGAGACCAGTTTTATTTTTCTTCATCGTGATTTGAATTGAAAGTTTGGTTTGAACTCATTCAAGAACATTTTTTTTAAAAATCATCGCCTTTTCTATACTGGTTCAAATTTGTGAACCGATGATAATATGGATGACTTTTTATTTGCTTATATTTTCACATGAAACTAACATTATCAATTCAACTTGAATTATTATTGTTAAAATCAACTCCGTTGAAGAGGATTTTAATCTGAATCTGTTCTTGTATAGTAGATTATATCCCATAATTGCTTTTATACCTTTTTTACTATGACTACATTCTGCGAATATGTTTTCTTCTTCGTATTCACATCAATGTGATTGTCATCATTTTTATTGATATGCCCAGAACACGTTGCAGTGCAGCATTCACTGGTTCGCCATTGACACCATGGGGATCTTCGAGAAAGCAGAAGTCCTACCCGCTGCCAATGGCCACCTAAGGAGCCGCATCTCGTTCGGCCAGCACCAAAAACTAGATCGAGCATATGCTCCCAAGCGAGCACCAACCCTAGACAGTTCTGTACGAAGTATAGTTGCCTCGATCAGTCGCAAACACGATGCCTAGCCCGCACAAACCGCGCCCCCGCTGCCATAAGCTCAGGGACAAACACTTTGTGCGTCCGGCCCACACACGCGTCCAGCCCGAGTTATTTATTGCCTAATTACATCTGAAGCCCTCGCGCAATGTATTCGCACCGGGGCGGTAGATATATTTGACGGAAGCTCAGGTGGTCGTTCACCCCAAGGACTCGCCGGGCACTGCGAGACAAGTCCATTTCACTTAAAGCCACCGGTCACTTAGTTATTTGTACAGAGGGCGCGGTAAACTGATAACTTGTTTTGAAAATCGTGAGTACAGGCTACGAACATTTAATTTTATTGAATATATTACATGGTAAACTTGTACGGTAGCAAGTGTACATATATTTCTTTGAGGGTAGATAGGGGACGAAAAGTAAATGCTTCTAGGTTGGTTTTTGCGAAGCTGTGTCCTTTCCGGTACAACCCCACTTTTCATGAGATTTGTCCTAACTGAGGAATCTGATTAGAAGACACTTAGAATCGCACAGATAATCCACGCGTTTCGTTTTGAATTTTCGATAATTTTAAATAGCAATATTTTTAGCATTTATGCACAATATATTTTTTATGTCACATAAATATATCATATTAAAATAACTACCCGGGCCAAGCCAACAATTACCTTGAACTTCATAGACTGTGGATAAATCCGCCTAAATTGCCCTTTCAAATGTCACACATTACAATAACAGACTTTAAACTTGCTTCCCTATTAGATTCAATATTTAATAAAGCATACCGCTATTTTAAGTGCTGGTAAACTTTCGCGAGTGTCATTATTCTCGGTAGCGTTCCATATATCCAGCTGCCAATGCAATAAGCTTAACGCATATAACAGTTCAAAGCTTAAACTACTTCTTCCTCCTGACTTTATCCCACTTAAGTGGGTTCAGCAAAACATGTGAATGATATTTTTAATGGTAGCAAATTATTTTACGACCGGCCGCCTGCCTGAAGTCAACCCTCCCTGCGAAAAAGCACCCAGATCCGGAACAACTACCCATGTTTCACACAAACATTATTGCCCCGTGCGGGAATCGAACCCACGACTCACGGCGCGCAACCGATGGCTTAGCAACTGCGCCACCGAGTAACTCAGTTCAACAGTTCAAAGCTCAATAACAGCATGAACATGAAACCGTAAACTGCCCAGGGTTAGAGAGCGTGCCGCTAAGCTTTTTTTGTTCGCGTACTTCTGCGCACGCCATGGCTTGGTCCGTTCGTGCGTTCGACGACTGGGCCGGAGTGCCCTTGAACTGTACAAGTCAAACGAACACACCGAGGCTATTATATGAACGCAATCGATATAATACAAGTGCATGTATGCTTACATTCTACGTAGAGAAAAACATATAATGGCGTTGTCTATTCCTATTGTAGTGTGGCATTCTTACGCCCGGTTTCTCAAACACTGATGATCGTATGTTAACTAATCAGCTGTCAAATGGCTTTTCAAATGTTACTTAAGTTGCCAAAAGGATAGTTAAACTCTCTTAATCGGTCATAACGATCATTAAGAAGATCAACAAAAAATAAACTGATATCTATCTATACTCTTATTTCAGGGAAAAGGTCGTGTACTGAAATCATTCACGTGTTACTAGTACGATAGCATCAGCAAAGGTTTCCCGGTAAGCTCAGCGGCGTGACATTTCGGCGCGCGTTAACACGCAACTCGCGACGGAGCGTCAATTTTAGCACCCAACACGTCCGGAAATTAGCGAGTGCCTTCGGTTTGTTCCGCGCGATTATAAGTATTTGTTATATCCGGCAAAGAATACTGACGACATTCGACTCGGTCGGCTCCGTTTGTTTTAATTTTTATGGGAAGCAAATTTAAAGACTGATACGGATTGAGGTTAAGGACGATTACATTTCGTTGTTTGTAAATTTACTCATCTAACCTATATTATATCAAAGCGAGTCTTATTTTTTTTTTTTTTTTTTTTTTTTTTTTTTTTTATGTGATAAGTTGCCAAACGAGCAGACGGTTCACCTGATGTTAAGTGAATACCGCCGCCCATGGACATCTGCTGCACCCGAAGGTTACAGAGGCGTTGACAACCTTTTGAAAATTGGGCTTATGCTTGTAGAGGATAAATCAAAAATGCTTACATAAGATTACCGGTTTGCTTGCTTGCATAGCAAACACGCCGCAACTTTGAATTTATAATACGAAGTTTAGTCTTTAATTAACAGTGATATTATAGATTTATAAGATGGACCATAAAAATGTTCTTATCTAGGATGTCAAGACGAAGCCCTAGTTAAGATTAAGAATTACTATTGATAATGCAACGAGCATTGCATCTTTCGCTGCTAAGACCGTAATAAGACAGCTTTGTGACGCCGTCACCGATTTTCTACTTCATGACATACGTCCGATTTCAATATTCTTTCCATCTGTATATTTAGTTACTAGCGATAGGTATTTGACATTAGCTTCATAATACTCACTTACTACAAAATTCTATTTCCAGTAACCAAATCTACAGATAGATATAATATTGAAACCGGCCATTAATGTACCATTCTACTATACTTTATACATCAGTTAGTGATCGCCACGATCCATAGGCAAAATCAGAGCGAATTATGAAAACGGTGCTTAAATGACGTGACGCGTGATTTGAAATAGAAACTGGCAACTAAAACCTCCCATGCTTTGCAACATTCTAAGCAGACGAATCCGAGGCACCGTTCCTTTCCCGTGACGTGTCATGTCACTCGGCGCGCTACGTGACGCATCGAACAGTAATAAAACGCGAAATTTAAATTTCCTAAAGGCACCGTAGTCGTCATCAGTCCGTATCTCAGAATCGGCTGAACGCGTGTCACGCCAAGCACGTCGGAATCGCGCCACAAATGTCGACACGGCGCCTCTGACGGGACACCGGTGGCGGGTGGCCGGACGTCACGTCACAGACCACGGGCTATCCGAAATAGACACGCGTCACGTCACCGGCTCGCTATCACGCGCCCCGCCGCCCTTATCGCGCGGGCGGACGGGCGACGCGCCCTCGTAAACAACCGACGATCGTAAATAACGCCAACGTCGCATTAGACTCGCCGGAGAATCTCTAGCCGCTCGATTTGCTATCTCGGAACGCTTTGAGCTAAATCGGTCGCAATGAGATTTTGTCTTGCACGCGATATAATGTCACGTCTAGAAATTAGCGAGAATTATCGCCGCGAAAAGCGAATAAAAAAATCGACATCACAGCTTTTAGTAAATTAATCGCCGAGTGAATTTGAAACGAATACGTGATTGATTCAATTATTGCCCCAAAAAAGTCAGGATAAAAGCCAGTTAAAAAATTTAGACTGCTCCACTAAAGCTTTTAACTTTACTGACTGACTTAACAGAGATTAACTGACGTCTAGTATTCAGAACAAATATTGAACGCTATTTTTCTTTCATGGCATAAAGTAAACTATTTCCCCATTGACATGACAATGTTTTAACTTTCCTCTAATCCAGGAAACGTTGGTAAACCGCTATCATGTTCCTTCATGAGATACACGTCACATCCCGATGTACTGTGCGTGCGTAACTCGCGGGGGTGCGATAACTATTTAAAGAAACGATCGGAGGCACTTTATTGCGTGGCCAGTGCGTTCGCAATGTCACGGGGCTCATGACGTACTGCGCGCTGCGAGCTCGCAACCCGCCCTCGGAGCTAATCGGACCCCGGCTCAGGTCGTGACATTGAACCTCAAATCTCATATTGGATCGGATTGATACCCGCACGAGGCCCCGCCACCAATACGCGACAACTAGCGAGAGCGAACGCTATTCTTATACATTGCGGCGTCACCGGCTGCGTCACAGCGGTCAATTCTCATCCGCGCGCAATGTATACCGCCCACGAAAATAGGCGCGATCAGAGACAACGATACCGCGAAATATGTGCACGTCATTATTACGACTGAAAACTACGTCACGGCGGATTGTTAATCGCGGGGTTTATTCGTGGATCGCCGGCAGACGTGACGTCAATCGACCGTATAGTTCTTCTAGAATGATCGGAGTGGAAGAAAACGATTAGATGCGCGTAGCGTCATATGATTTGGCCTACTGTTGGTCTACGGCGATGATCAACAATCCCAATTCAGTTAATCATTGCAATAAAATAATCGCCAATTGATATCCTATCGCTGTTGCACAATATTTAGTCACTTTGGATGTGAACGAAAGAGAAAATTGTGAAATATGTTGTACGCCTTCATTAGTAGGCGCTTGCTGCGTTAAAATAGTTGAAACGTTATTATGGTATGGTTTGGTGGTGCCAACTTCCTTATTTACGAGCACGGTATCTGTCATCGATATGGTTGGCTCAGTGGCACGATCGATAAATTCTTGGCACCTGTATCGCGTGCTGCGAGTTCGAATGCGCTTCGTTGATGTATTTATAGACACGACGTGTAGTTGCGGATTTGCGGTTTATGGATGTGCATTTATGCGTAGAAAGTCCCATATACGATTAAATAATGTTTTTAACAATCAATAACATACAATTATAAATTAAGGTAACTTCATAACACAAAAAAATAAAATCAAATTACAGCTAAGAAACATCTCAGATCATCAATCGATCCATTTTTTTTCACACAGGCAGACACGTAAAACTTATAGAACTCCTCTTTTACGTCGGCGTTAAAATATAATCACCTTTTAAATTTCTTTATACTTATACGTTTTACTTCCACTTTTATTACGAAGAATAAAGTTCAATAAGTTTATCTTTGTCGTCTTGACATTTAAACGAATTCTGGTGACAATTTAACGGAATTGCCACATACGTCACATCATTTCATCATTCTCCAACCCTTATCCCGCCTACGTGTAAACGGTTTTGGCTATATTTCTTACGACGTCAGCCCTCATTGGGAAACAAACCCCCAAATCCGGAAGAATCATCTGTTGGTCATACAAATACTTGTCCCGGGTGGGAATCCAACCCACGGCCACCGACGCCGAAGCCAATAGCTTAGCAACGGCACCGACGAATCGTTACCGAGACACCTTACACCCATAAAACTAATTCTTTACATTTCGTACACAATCACCTACTTATCGTTAAGAAACGTCATCACGAAGCATCGATGCAGTTCTCTTATCATGACATAGCAGTAGCGTAAGAGTTTCACGACTTCAATCGCAACACAATCGAGAGCGGCGGCGAATTTATCGCAATTAAGTACTATATCCGCCGCGATACTGCGAGAAGCGATCGAGTGTCGTCGACCCGTTCGAGTTGTACGAGATAAAGGTTGGCACCGCTCCAGGCGTCGTGCGTTCGTCGCACGCGCAGTGCACTGCACATTTCACATCCTGAAGAACGGGAAGAGTAAACTTCGACCTTATAGAACGCGAGATAGGGTCGGAAATGCGACGGGATCGCGTTCAGAGATCTCTGGGAGCACGAAACGCCTAGACGTTTGGATGGCCTTTGATGTCGTATGGAGAACGCAGCGGCGGACTATTAGCGGCAACGGTACTGCGCGAATTGGTCTTTTACATGCGGATAAGAATTTAATACCGGCACCGGTGCCTATGAAGACGGATATACGACGCAATTATTTGGTAACTCCGTGGCGCAGTTGCCAAGGTATTGGCTTCGGCGCCGGGTGTCGTGGGTTCAAATGTATGTATGTATGTATGTAAAACTTCCATCCAACACAGGATAATGTTATCATACATATATTGTGCGAGCAATGTTTTTTTTAAAGTGAGAAAATAAAGTCGAAGCCGAAATTTGAAAGCCAAAGTACGGTCACGGTGGACAATTACTCAATCAGGGCATCTCGTAAACAATATGTGTCGACATCATTCATTCTAGATATGCTAGGTTATTATTAAGTTTACCATTAAACCAATCGATAAAATATTAACACAAAATCTTAATAAACAATAACAATTCCTGTTTGGGTATTGTTATTGCTACTTACGATTTTATACAACACTACCTAATTAACAAAAAAAAAATTCGACTACAAAAATCTCACTATACACTTTTTATAATACAAAAATATGCTTCATGAATGACGGCATTACCAAAAAGCAACTGAATTTAAAACCCCGCTTTCGAAGTCGGTTCAAGAAGAAAGGTTTAACCTTTAAAACATAAAAAATTATTAGAATCGAACATACAACGTTACATGCAACAATACACAAACGCACGTATCGCGCACTCGGATCGCAATGGCGTTACATAATTAAAAATTACCGAGAACTGCAACCGTTATCCACGCGTTCACGAACGGACGTTTCGATACGGCTTCGTTATCAGCCAGATATGAGTTTCACACATTTTGTAACCGCTCGGTTAATCATCCTGTTGCATTTGCAGCGGACAAACCCTATATATTGTTATGAACACACAAAGGAACTAACGCCATCTAGCGTCAACTATTAAAACCACTAAAGAACAAAGACGACATAAAACCCCCTATTCAACACTAGATGGCGTTAGAGGAACTGCTGTGGAACTATAGTCTCGAAAACCGGGTACACCGACCAGGCCACGCCCACCGACCCCCAGACGCCGCCCATTCAGGCTCAGGCCCCGCCGACTCTGGCACAGGCCCCGCCCACTCCGCCTCAGGCCCCGCCCACTTTGGTGCGAGCACCGCCCACTGACTCCACCCACCGGGCCACGCCCACTGGCCCCGCCCACCTTACCACGCCCACCAGCGGCACCGTAACTTCTGCAGCCCCTGGAGTGGCTCTTCAATTAGGAAGTCTAATTGAACTAATGGAGCTGCAAAGGGCTGAAATTGAAGCAATGAAGGAATCACACGAACGCAGGCTCGGCGCAAGAGTCACAAGAACGCAAGCTGACTACGATTCAAGAGTTTCAAAAGGCTGAAATCAGAGCGATTCGAGAATCACAAGAGCAACATAAAGACCTCCAAGAAAAAGCACTTTGGGCTATAAATGATGTTAGTAACACGGTGATTAAGATTCGAAAAGATGTCGACGTAGTGGAAGAACGAGTTACCGGGTTAGGATTGGATGTTGAAAATGTGAAAACCAGCCTCACTGAACTATAGAAGAAAGTAGTGCGCATTGAAACCACGGGAGTCACGATGTCTAGTGGCACTACTGGAGTGGCGCAAGGACCAAGAGTGAAAGTGCCGCCATACGATAGTGCGGCAATACTTCTTGGCACGCTTATCGTCGGCAATTCCAGACTGTTGCTACTGCCAACGGATGGACGGAAGAGCAATGCTTGACCGCTCTCACTGTTGCGCTCAGAGGGCAAGCTTTGTCGGTCCTGGAAGCACTGCCACATACAGGAAATGGGTTCCAAGACCTGATGGAGGCACTTGAATCCAGGTACGGGGAGCGACACCTGGAGCATGTGTTCCGTGCCCAACTGCGTGACCGAGTCCAACGCTCAGGAGAAGGACTACAACAATGGGCGTTGGAAATTGAAAAACTCGTCAGGAAGGCACACCCAGGAGCCGACACCAAGATGGTAGACACGAATATTGTTCAAGCATTTGTGGACGGAATCAAAGACCTGGAGGTCAGAGCCGCAGTGAGGCTTCGTCACAATACCTCGCTAAAGGAGGCATTGGCGCACGCTTTGGAGGTCGAGGCTGTTCGCTATGACATACGGCAGACCCATAAGATCCGGGAGGTCTCTGAGGAAGTCAAGGAGGTTAAGGCTCCTACGAAGAGAAGGTCTGGACCCATGTGCTACAAGTGCGGCGAGAGGGGCCATCTTCAGCTCAACTGCCCGCAGAAGGAGACTCAGATGGCAAGGATGAAAAGGATTGAGGAACAAATAGAGGAGCTGAAGAAGCAAGGGGCTTCAGGGAAACGAATAAAAGCCAGAACTAAGGGGCGAGTACTGGCTGACGCGGAGGAAGCCCCAGCAAACAGCAACAACTACGGATCAGTGACTGAGCTACTCGATGACTTCAAGACGGAACACCGCAGCCGAAAGATGCATGGGAATGGCGACGCACTCTCACAAAGGTTGTGTTCGGAAGACTGCAAACATTGTGTTAA